TGCTTTCATAGCCTGATCCGCCGTGGATTTTTCTGTGATCGTGTTGAACCCAGGAAGGGCTGCGAATTCATGGCTAAGGGCCTCGGGCATCCCATTTAGATGGTTAAAATCCCAATGAAAATTTTTGCTCCTGCCCCCAACCTTGGCCTATCACAACCCATTTGCTGTGGTGAAATCCGTTGGTGAAATCCAATCTTTCTGCTGGAGCCTCCTGGTGAGGCAGTGCTGGCCAAAGGGGAGGCGAATGAAAAGCTTTTCGAGCCACTAGGATTGAGATGGATTTGAGAAAGATCTGCAGATCCTGATGTGCACCAGGATGCACCAGGGTTTTCGGGATGACCCTTAGCCAGGTTGCTCGGATGATCAGAGACATGGAATGGAAACAATCCAACATGGCGCCTGGCGAAGGTGCACCATTTCGTAGATGATTTCGAAGGTGGAACTTTTCTTGCCCCCAAAAAAACATGGTTTTGATGGTTGATACATTGCAACCCCCCAAAAGATACTGTAGACACTATTTTTTGGCTTCCCACGATTTTTTTCGGATCAGACTTTCTGTTTCCGCTGAGTTTGGTCCAACGAGACCCGAGGTTGGCCAACAGACCGAAAGTGGCGATCAACGTTGCTGGATCCAGCCTGGAGGCCTTGGGGTGTCGGTCCCGTGTTCCTCTTGGATCAAGGCTTTCTGGTGGCTTAGATGGTAACAACACATACCTTCCCCTAATATTAAACACCAGCCAGAAACCATGGTTTAATAGGGGATTTACACATATTTGGGACGATTTCGTGGGTGTTTAATATTAGGGGGATGGGATTAGGAATTAGAATAAACTGTGGGATCTATGGTAGAGATATTGAATTAGTTGCCAAGGCGCCTGGGTGTTTTGTTGTCTTTTTGTTGTTACGTTCATGTACATGCTATATAATATACGTTGATGATGTTCAGGGGTGGGGTGGGGTGAGATGTTAACCTGATGTTCAGGAGTGGGGTGGGGTGGGATGTTACCGTTCATGTACATGTTACCTTGATGATGTTCAGGGGTGGGGTGGGGCGGGATGTTAACCAAACGTTCATGTACATGTTACGTTGATGATGTTACCTTGATGATTTCCAGGGGCGGGGTGGGATGTTAACGTTGATACATTTCACAATTCAAAGAAGTTGGCAGCCATGAGCAAATTGTTTCATGGATAGAAGTAGTTTTTGGAAAGAGAAAAAAGGGCTTGCAGAGCTCGATTCGCAGTTACAAGGGGAATTGGACATAGAGACCCTTCAACCACCAGGCGCCTCTCAGCGCCGTTCCCAAATTAGTTCGATGGGATTATGAGCCAGCATTCTTAGTGGGGGCCCCCTTCGTCCCAAATGCTGCAAGTTGGAAGATTGCCCAACAAAGTGGATACTGTATCAAGGATTATTCATTTGGGCCACAAACACATCAGCCAATTTTGGACGGTCAAAGCTGCCAATTTGTGCCGGTTAAATCCATATTGTTTGTTGAAATCCGTGTTTTGTCAGGTCAGCTTGAAGCTTCCACTTCTGGGAGTGGACCATTTCCCATGTGGATGATTTTCTGACCGATTATCCACATTAAAAATCTATGATGAATTTCCCATCCACGTCTGATCACCAGAGGGGCGCAACCAGATCCCAGGTGTTGATTTGGCAAGTTTTGCTGTCAAAAAATCCCCAGTTGTTCGCTGGTAAACATACAGTCCCCCCTTTCGTGGTGCAGTTCGAGTGAACCGAATGGATAATATCTTCATTCAACCATAGTTAGTCTCAACTCTGGAAGGTCACTACCGTTGGTCGGGGGGTCGCATGTACACGTGAAATAAAGATCGCATGTACACGCGAACGACTTGGGGAAGAAAATCGCATGTACACGCGGGCAGATCGCAACTACACGCGAATAGGAAACGGCCATTTTTTGCTTGTAAAAACCAATGAAAATAGAGACTGGTGGTATATGGGACGTTTCTATCTGCAACCATGCGTGGAAGTTGGTGGAAGCAGGCTATGTGCGGCCAAGATCGCAACTACACGCGAATAGGAAATGTCTTTAATGTAAGTTATCTCTCTATCTATCTATCTAGCTAGCTAGCTAGCTATCTATCTACCTACCTATCTATCTATCTATCTATCTATCGATCCATCGATCTATCTATCGATCTATCGATCTATCTATCGATCTATCTATCGATCTATCTTATCTTATCTTATCTTATTTTATCTATCTTATCTATCTTATCTCTCTTATCTACCTTATCTATCTTATCTATCTTATCTATCTTATCTATCTTATCTATCTTATCTATCTTATCTGTCTTATCTATCTTGTCTACCTTATCTATCTTATCTATCTTATCTATCTGATCTACCTTATCTATCTTATCTATCTTATCTATCTGATCTATCTATCTGATCTATCTATCTATCTTATCTATCTATCTATCTATCTATCTTTCTATCTATCTATCTATCTAATCTAACCTTATCTTATCTTATCTTATCTTATCTTATCTATCTATCTATCTATCTTATCTATCTTATCTATCTTATCTATCTTATCTATCTTATCTATCTTATCTATCTTATCTATCTTATCTATCTTATCTAATCTTATCTATCTTATCTATCTTATCTATCTAATCTATCTTATCTATCTAATCTATCTAATCTATCTAATCTATCTAATCTATCTAATCTATCTAATCTATCTAATCTATCTAATCTATCTAATCTATCTAATCTATCTAATCTATCTAATCTATCTAATCTATCTAATCTATCTAATCTATCTATTCTATCTATCTATCTATCTATCTATCTATCTATCTATCTATCTATCTATCATTATCTATCTATCTATCTATCTATCTATCTATCTATCTATCTTATCTATCTATCTTATCTATCTATCCTATCTATCTATCTTATCTATCTATCTTATCTATCTGTCTTATCTATCTATCTTATCTTATCTAACTATCTTTCTTTCTTTCTTTCTTTCTTTCTTTCTTATCTATCTATCTATCTATCTTTCTTTCTTTCTTTCTTTCTTTCTTATCTATCTATCTATCTACCTATCTATCTATCTATCTATCTATCTATCTATCTATCTATCTATCTATCTAAAAACCCTAAAAGTGTCGTGGCTCTTCTTACATCAAGTGCAACAACATATAAACCCTAAAGGGGTCGTGGCTCTTCTTACATCAAGTGCAACAACATATAAACCCTAAAGGGGTCGTGGCTCTTCTTACATCAAGTGCAACAACATATAAACCCTAAAGGTGTCGTGGGTCGTCTTACATCAAGTGCAACAACATATAAACCCTAAAGGGGTCGTGGCTCTTCTTACATCAAGTGCAACAACATATAAACCCTAAAAGGGTCGTGGCTCTTCTTACATCAAGTGCAACAACATATAAACCCTAAAGGTGTCGTGGCTCTTCTTACATCAAGTACAACAACATATAAACCCTGAAGGGGTCGTGGCTCTTCTTACATCAAGTGCAACAACATATAAACCCTAAAGGGGTCGTGGCTCTTCTTACCTCAAGTGCAACAACATCTAAACCCTAAAGTGGTCGTGGCTCTTCTTCCATCAAGTGCAACAACATATAAACCCTAAAGGTGTCGTGGCTCTTCCTACATCAAGTGCAACAACATATAAACCCTAAAGGGGTCGTGGCTCTTCTTACATCTAGTGCAACAACATCTAAACCCTAAAGTGGTCGTGGCTCTTCTTCCATCCAGTGCAACAACATATAAACCCTGAAGGGGTCGTGGCTCTTCTTACATCAAGTGCAACAACATATAAACCCTAAAGGGGTCGTGGCTCTTCTTACATCAAGTGCAACAACATCTAAAACCTAAAGTGGTCGTGGCTCTTCTTCCATCAAGTGCAACAACATATAAACCCTAAAGGTGTCGTGGCTCTTCCTACATCAAGTGCAACAACATATAAACCCTAAAGGTGTCGTGGCTCTTCTTACATCTAGTGCAACAACATCTAAACCCTAAAGTGGTCGTGGCTCTTCTTCCATCAAGTGCAACAACATATAAACCCTAAAGGTGTCGTGGTTCTTCTTACATCAAGTGCAACAACATATAAACCCTAAAGGGGTCGTGGCTCTTCTTACATGAAGTGCAACAACATATAAACCCTAAAGGTGTCGTGGCTCTTCTAACATATAAACCCTAAAGGGGTCGTGGCTCGTCTTACATCTAGTGCAACAACATAGGGGTCGTGGCTCTTCTTACATCAAGTGCAACAACATATAAACCCTAAAGGTGTCGTGGCTCTTCCTACATCAAGTGCAACAACATAGAAACCCTAAAGGGGTCGTGGCTCTTCTTACATCAAGTGCAACAACATATAATCCCTAAAGGGGCCGTGGCTCTTCTTACATCAAGTGCAACAACATATAAACCTTAAAGGGGTCGTGGCTCTTCTTACATCAAGTGCAACAACATATAAACCCTAAAGGGGTCGTGGCTCTTCTTACATCAAGTGCAACAACATATAAACCCTAAAGGTGTCGTGGCTCTTCTTACATCAAGTGCAACAACATATAAACCCTAAAGGGGCCGTGGCTCTTCTTACAGCAAGTGCAACAACATATAAACTCTAAAGGGGTCGTGTCTCTTTTTACAATTAAATAAATTTTAAGAGTAGTGGTGTGTACATGTGATCGCGGTTGCAGAGTACATGCGTGTACATGTGATTGTCATCTGCGTGCGCAGATGAACTCACTTGCGTGTACATGTGATCGTGGGGCTCACTTGTGTGTACATGTGATTATCAGCTGCGTGCGCAGATGATCGTAAGGCTAGAAAAAGGTCTCTGCGTGTACATGTGATCTGATTTTGCGTGCGCGGATGATCCCTTGACCTCACTACCATGTTTCCCTCCAAATTGTTTGGTTAAATCGCCATTTCACTGGTGAAATCCCCATTTTGGTTGGTTTAAATCCCACATCTTCCGTTGCCTCTTGGGGGGGCAACATGGCCAGGTGGTACAGGATCGCAGCACGCAGGAACACAGTGGTGGAGTGGCCACTGGGATGTACGTGTATTTCATTGGAGATACTAGGTACATAAATACATAACCAACGGAATAGAAAAAATAAGTACCCCGTATGTATATATATATATATGTATACGGATTACATACGTATATATATATATATACAAATATATATATACAAATATATATATATATATATACAAATATATATATATACGTACACATTATATATATATACATGTATAAGTACATACAAACATATATATAATTATATATAATTATATATAAATACATAATGTATATATATATAGAGTACATATAATATGTATATATATATATATATTATATTTATATTATGTGTATAAGTACATATAGACATGTATATATATATATATAGTACATATAATATGGACACACTGTACACGCTGTACGGTGTATCTGTGCCGTCCACGATGGCAAGGTCTGGGAGACGGCTCTGTTTTTGCTCCGCTATTTGGAACGGAGAGTTCTTCCAGGCGTGGCGGCTTCAACGAGGCATCGGGGTATGGTTTGGCATGGCTTAGCCAACATATCGGACGTATCGGAATCGGACGTTGAAGCGTGCAAGATTCGGGAAGGTCAATATCCTGACATCATCCAGTTCTGTTCGATCTCAAAAGGGTTGTTTTCGCCCTGGATCGAACCCTTCCCCTAGATATGTTCGGGTTGTATCTCGATGCAGGTGCATTGAAGTCGTAGGACCCTGTGGTATGGGTCATGCATCTGAGACTATAGGCTTTGGTGAAATTTAACGACTCAACCATCCAAATGTTTCCGGGAGAAAGTGATCCTTGCCCAGCATGGACTACGGGGTACACCTCCACAATTGCTGGTATCTCTTTGAGCCGAATCCCCCATGTTTGTTGAATCATTACGTTCGATTGGTTCACATCCGCATTTTTGCCTGTATTTTCTTGGTCTTCTGAGTCTTCTACTCTTTTTTGGCTCCTTGCAACTTAAGTTCTTGTTAGTTGAATCTCTGTTCAGCGGTTTCCCCGTCGTGGTCCTTCAACCCCATGCCTTCCTTCAACTCCCATGATCTCCCATGTTTGCTGATGAATTTTTCCATTTTGGACTGGTGGTTTTCCCAATTTTGGTTGGTTGCATCACCATTTGATGCTGGTTAAAGGCCCCCCTATGTCTTTCCGGTTTTATCCCATTCTTGCTGAATTTTTGCTTGTTTTTGTTGGTTTCAGCCACATTTGTTTTGGTTTTATATCATTTTATTATATCCAACTTCGGTTGGTTTTATCGTTTTATCCATTCTTTTGTTGGTGTCCATCATTCTTGTGGTGAATTGTTTGGCTTCCGATGATGAGGGCTCCGAGCTGCGAGCAAGCCGCGAGTGGTTGAGTCGCTGGGGTAGCGAACCATAGGTCATCATAGGTCGTTCAGGGTTGCTCCATGTTGCTCCAATCGACGGTAGCCCGGTGATGGCCCAGCGATGGCAAGGACACTGGGTAATTTTGTGCCATTTTTTGTTTTCTGTGTTGGCAGCAAGCCTATGCATTGGAAACGGACTGGATAGGTCTAGTTTTGGACTTCAATCTTTTGTTATCAATAGGGATGCATTATACTAACCAGTATCTAAGATTTGAACTGTGTTAGGGCAGTATTTTGAGGATCCCATAAATGGGAACAACTGGGGATTGAATCATATTCAATCATCAAAGATGGCTGGAGATTAAGAAACGTCAACACATACCCGGCTTCAATTCAAGGAAATTTGGGATTTTCCCAGGTTGTATTTGACCAACGATGCCAGGATTTTCCAGTCACCACGTCCACACTTTTGACCCCGTGAATCTAGGAACTTCGTCCATTGCAAAAACCATGGTGAGCCATTAAACATAGATAAAAAATCGCGAATTGATTGCTATAGGGACTTATACTACCTGGTTGGGGATTCTGATAACCCATGATATAATGGGTATTTTGAACGGCTGTGTATGGCTCAACCTTTTAAACTCCCGAAATTGGATGCTAACCACCGACTCTGGTGACGCAACCAGCACGAATCTGTGGTGAAAATCAGACTCCACAGATCACTTAACTTCACCACCTTCGGTAGGACCGGTAGGATTGCGCATCGACGACGAACATCCCAAAGATATCCAAAGATGTTTTTTTGGTCAATAGTAAGCATCAAAAAGATAGCTGGTGGGATCCTAGAAGAGAAGGGCTAAATTTTGAACCGAAAAAACGCCCCATTTCATCGCCATTGGGAAAGGAGGTTGAAAAAACTAGTGGATTTGATGTTCTCTAAATTTCAGGTACCAACCGACCACTGGGAATATAATATACCCCCAGGCCGGGGGTGGCCAGAGGTTTCTCATGTCACCAACTCTTTAGGCTTTGTTTTTTTTTTTAAAATGGTTTTTGCGTTTTGACCACGGCTTGAATGAACTTCAAATCTTTCAAATCTTTCAAGGCTAGCTAATGTTACTTAGGGTTTTTGATGTCAGATTGGGGTCAGATTGGGGTTTCGGCTCGGCCATTCGCTTCCGCCGACCAAAACGCAGACATCCCCAGGCTTGGCTCCGGCTGTGGCTTGCTGGGCCTGGGCCTGGCTCGCCTTGGCTGCCAGGCTGCTAACCACTGGTGAGTTTCTGAAAAAATGTGATGAACATGTGAAGATGCGAAGGGTTACAACAGAAAAAGGGACCACACATGATCATCAATGATAATACATGATACATATATGATACATATATGGCAATATATGGTGAAATGTGATGTAAAAGTCATCAACAGATTGACAAACAAATGAGAAACATCGACATGAGAAGGAGGAAACGTCGGGTAAATCCATGGTAATTCAACAAGTTTCGCCGAAAATCACTGGTAGCACCTGGCCCAATGGCAGCAGTCGACAACGGTCACCATTTTTTCACCAGTGGATCTGATGCCGCCCACAATGGTCACCTTGATTTTCCCATTAAAACCATCCACTTCGAAAAGGGGATTTCCCGGCCATGATTACCAGAGGATGCAGTGAAATCCCAGTTGATGCTTCAACAAACTCACCATTTCCCCATGCAAATTGGATCAAATTGGCACATTGCTGAGCAAATGGGAACAAAAATCCAGAACTTTTTGGGCAAAGCCATCACTGGATGCAGGTGACCCTAACGGACCAGCTCTGTGCGTTGCCGAACCTGCAGAGCAACGTCGAGGTGCGGTGTTTTTTCGGAGTGGGAAGTGAAAACACTGGAAACCTTGGAGGTAAATTGACAAATAATTGGAAACAGACCTGGGAGGAAGTTTCTTTACTGAAGTATCCACATTTTCTGTGGTTCCTTGAAGTTTGAACCATACCCAGGTTCTACTTACTAGTTTACAATTAGCTTGAGGGCCTATATTTTTTGGCGCACAGAGCAAAACACATGTGTTTGATGGTAGTAATGTTTCCTGGGCACTCCGGCTGTGAAAGGGGAAACCATTTTTGGGTTGACTGTAACATTGTGACAATTGAAGTCCTTCTCTGAGAAAGGTGGTGGCTCAGAAATCCGAAAAACTACATCAGTAGTTGGTTTTTATCATTCTGATGTTCGGTTTACCTGTTGCAGGCAGCAGGAACAACTGCAAAGGCGCGGGCAACCTGTATGAATGTCCGTGATCTCTTGAGGGTGACACCTTCCCCTTCGGTTGTTAGTGGGTTCCAGCCCTGATTTGCAGGCAAAGGTTATGGGACATTATAGGACCCTCCAATTTCAATAGATGGTAACAACTCATAGGTTCCCGCAATTTGTTGGTCAACCACCACCATTGTGGTTGCTTAAGTTACACATTTGTTAGACGCTTACCCTCTGGTAATTTAACATAACTATGGAAAATCACCATTTTTAATGGGAAAAATCCACTATAAATGGCCATTTTCAATAGCTATTTTGACATAACCAGAGGGTATATACCTCTATCACCTTGGTGAAGTCATTCCATTTCTACTCCAGGTTAGACGGCATTTTCGACTGCATTGTTTAAGTGCCGCAAGCTTTCGAAAACATGAACACGTGGCATGTTTCGGGCAAGATTTTGAGCGGGAAATTATGATAGTCTATGTATGCAGATATATGATGATATATGATATATACAGTAAAATCATCATACCAGTTTTCAGCTAGGTAATCCTGTAAGCCTGACCACTTCACCTATATTAATGCACCCCAAAGGTCGATCGAAACGAAGCCCGGTCAGGTGCAAGCGCTGTCCTGGGGAGATCCCAGTGATGTGGCTGCTGTGTGCAGCCAAGGTGCCGGGGCACATTGCGCATGTTTTGAAGTTAACTGTTACCATAGGGTGTTGCATTATGTTGCATTATGATCCAGGCCCGAAAATATGCAAGAATTACTGAAGGCCATTGATGATGTGGTTGTTGGTCCCCAGTCTTCAGAAATCTTCAGAATCTAGAGTCCTGTACTTTTCCAGAAACTTATACTATAAAAGGAGTAAATGAAGATCAATGATCCACCCATGGTCCCATGGTCCGGTTGAGGTCCGGCCAAAGGATCCCAAGGTGGATCCCCAGATCCCCATCCCGTCTCAATCTAGTTCACTTTCGGGATGTTCCTCAGTTGCATATAAGTTGGTTTTGACCCCATCTAACTCTAGAATTAATATTAATATTAATATATATATATATAATATAATATAAATATACACAGATATTAGGATATATCCACCATATTCGCCAGGGAAAATGGCACATTTTTAATAGGTAAACCATCTATTTCTATGGGCCATTTATTTTCAATGGCTTCCATGGCGAACTGTTGGTCATAACCAGAGGGTATCTACCATAAACATTTATAAGCTCCGTAATTAGATTTGTGATGATTTATGGACAAACCAACTTAATGTAAGTAACTTATATATCAACCATACATCCCAAGTTTGGTTGGTGAATACCACCTCTTTGCCGGGGTAAGTCTCCCGTTTTCGTTGGGGTTTCACTTTGCCACCAGTGGCAGGCCCTGTGGATCTGGTGGTTGGCTCCGATGTGGTCTTTGCCATGCGATTCGTGGAGCATGGAGACCGAGTACATGTATACATAGCGAACGTTGCTATATATATATATACATATCATATACATATACATACAAATATGTATGCATACAATGTATAGTGTGTATAGTGTACATATATATATATATATGATATTTGATTGTATTATATATACACAGAGATTTGTCTATATGTAGACATGCACGCGTAGGCATACTCACGCTGAGGGCAGCTTTCCTTTTTTTAGGGCTTTTGGGCTTGTCCTTCCCTGGTCCAGCAGGTTCCAGTAGTTGGTGGCTGGTGATGTGGATCCCAGCAGGCCACGCCCCAAGGCCACTGCTGCAAACCATTGAAGCCTTGTTGCAGGTGAGAGGATGGGGGATGGGTCAGCGACTCGCAGTGCCACGCATTTCGGGGCTTGCAGTTTGTAGCCATCAGCCGCCGTAGGGGAATTTTCACGTATAGCCATGATATAAGCATCATATACCCATGATATATCCATCATATACCCATCATAACTTCCAGCTATCCATCATACCCTTTATATATATATATTTCAGCAGCGATGGGGAACATCGGTGGCCTGGGATGGTCCCTTAAATTCCTGTTTATGTCACATACATATGTGACATATGTGTATGTATATATATATATTATATAAATATATACAAGTATATCATAGCTACATATACAGATAGATAAGTGAAACACTTACTTTATCGCATAAACGAATCTGTGCACAGAGATAGATAAAGATATAGATAATGTCAGTTCGTTGGAGCACTAAGTCTCCGTGCTTGCCTCATTGAGTTTCTTGCGAGTGCCCCTCTGTCAGGGCCAAACTTCTGGGTGTTGCTGGCTTTGTTTGCAAAGGCCGGGAGTTCGGTGCTGCTTGGATGGGCCATGGGCTTTGCCCATTGTGAAGAATAGTAAGGGAGTTACACCTCACCATGCCCATAACATGCATGCAATGTACGTATATAACATATATATTTATATAACATATGTATACACCTATGGGCAGGCACACACAGACATATACATTTTATATACATTTTATATACATTTTATATACATTTTATATACAGATATATACATATATATACAGATATACATATATCTATATACAGATATACATATATCTATATACAGATATACATATATCTATATACAGATATACATATATCTATATACAGATATACATATATACATAGATATAAATACAGATATACATATATATATAAATACAGATATACACATATATATATATATACAGATATATATATATATATACAGATATGCATATATGTATATATACATATACATATATATATATATATATTTACAGATATATAGTGACGGACAATCACTTAGAACGTATTTTTTTTCCAATTTTTTTTTTCGTACTTAGAACGTAGCAAAATTTCATCACTTAGAACGTAGGGAAAATTCATCACTTAGAACGTCAAAATATCACTTAGGCCCATTTATCACTTAGAACGTAAACCAACACTTAGAACGTGCTAAGTGATTGTCCGTCGCTATATAAACTATTTTTTCGATTTCAAAATCAATTAAATTTCCTTATATAGCGCAATTAAACATATTGCCAAAAATTGGATTTCGAAGCGGACCCTAATAATAAATTTAGACCCTTAATAAAGCGGCTATTTTTTCGACTTCAAAATCAATTAAATTTCCTTATATAACGCAATTAAAATATTGCCAAAAATTGGATTTCGAAGCGAATCCGAATAATAAATTTAAACCCTTAATAAAAAGACTAGTTTTTTCGATTCAAAATCAATTAAATTTCCTTTTATAACGCAATAAGACTATTGCCAAACACTAGAGTTCGAAGCGGACCCTAATAAATTTAAACCCTTAATAAAACAAAACTATTTTTTCGATTCAAAACCAATTAAATTTCCTTATATAGCGCAATTGAAATATTGCCACAAATTGGATTTCGATGCGGACCTAAATAATAAATTTAAACCCTTAATAAGAAAAACATTTTTTTCGATTTCAAAATCAGGTAAATTTCCTTATAACACAATTAAAATATTGCCAAAAATTGGATTTCGAAGCGGATCCTAATAATAAATTTAAACCCTTAATAAAAAGACTAGTTTTTTCGCTTTCGAAATCAATTGAATTTCCTTTTATAACGCAATTAAAATATTGCAGAAAATTGGAATTCGAAGTGGAATCGAAATTATGTCTAGGTTTCCTACGGAATTAGCTGCTGAAACCAACACTTAGAACGTCAGAACCCCCAAAAAGCACCAAAAGGATCCAAAAGGTATAGTGTTCCAGAGATAAAAGATCGCCAATTCAATATTTGCAAATCATATGGGAGGGAAAAGCCAAATGGTACGAAATTATGTCTACGTTTCCTCGGAATTAGCTGCTGAATCCAACACTTAGAACGTCAGAACCCCCAAAAAGCACCAAAAGGATCCAAAAGGTAGAGTGTTCCAGAGATAAAAGATCGCCAATGTCAAATCATATGGGAGGGAAAAGCCAAATGGTACGAAATTATGTCTATGTTTCCTACGGAATTAGCTGTTGAATCCAACACTTAAAACGACAGAACCCCCAAAAAGCACCAAAAGGATCCAAAAGGTAGAGTGTTCCAGAGATAAAAGATCGCCAATGTTTGCAAATCATATAGGAGGGAAAAGCCAAATGGTACGAAATTATGCCTGTGTTTCCTACGGAATTAGCTGCTGAATCCAACACTTAGAACGTCAGAACCACCAAAAAGCACCAAAAGGTATAGTGTTCCAGAGGTAAAGACCGCCAAGATTTGCAAATCATATGGGACAGAAAAGCCAAATGGTACGAAATTATGTCTATGTTTCCTACGGAATTAGCTGCTGAATCCAACACTTAGAACGTCAGAACCCCCAAAAAGCACCAAAAGGTATAATGTTCCAGAGATAAAAGATCGCCAATATTTGCAAATCATATGGGAGGGAAAAGCCAAATGGTACGAAATTATGTCTATGTTTCTACGGAATTAGCTGCTGAATCCAACACTTAGAACGTCAGAACCCCCAAAAAGCACCAAAAGGTATAGTGTTCCAGAGATAAAAGATCGCCAAGATTTGCAAATCATATGGGAGGGAAAAGCCAAATGGTACGAAATTATGTCTATGTTTCCTATGGAATTAGCTGCTGAATCCAACACTTAGAACGTCAGAACCCCCAAAAAGCACCAAAAGGTATAGTGTTCCAGAGATAAAAGATCGCCAATATTTGCACATCATATGGGAGGGAAAAGCCAAATGGTACGAAATTATGTCTATGTTTCTTACGGCTTAGAATGTCAGACCCCCCAAAAAGCACCAAAATGTATAGTGTTCCAGAGATTCAAGATCGCCAATATTTGCAAATCATATGGGAGGGAAAAGCCAAATGGTACGAAATTATGTCTATGTTTCCTACGGAATTAGCTGCTGAATCCAACACTTAGAACGTCAGAACCCCCCAAAAGCACCAAAAGGTATAGTGTTTCAGAGATAAAAGATCGCCAATGTTTGCAAATCATATAGGAGGGAAAAGCCAAATGGTACGAAATTATGTCTACGTTTCCTACGGAATTAGCTGCTGAATCCAACACTTAGAACGTCAGAACCACCAAAAAGCACCAAAAGGTATAGTGTTCAAGAGGAAAGATCGCCAATTCAATATTTGCAAATCATATGGGAGGGAAAAGCCAAATGGTACGAAATTATGTCTATGTTTCCTACGGAATTAGCTGCTGAATCCAACACTTAGAACGTCAGAACCCCCAAAAAGCACAAAAGGATCCAAAAGGTAGAGTGTTCCAGAGATAAAAGATCGCCAATATTTGCAAATCATATGGGAGGGAAAAGCCAAATGGTACGAAATTATGTCTATGTTTCCTACGGAATTAGCTGCTGAATCCAACACTTAGAACGTCAGAACCCCCAAAAAGCACCAAAATGCATAGTGTTCAAGAGATAAAGAACGCCAATATTTGCAAAACATATGGGACAGAAAAGCCAAATGGTACGAAATTATGTCTATGTTTCCTACGGAATTAGCTGCTGAATCCAACACTTAGAACGTCAGAACCCCCAAAAAGCACCAAAAGGATCCAAAAGGTATAGTGTTCAAGAGGTAAAGATCGCCAATTCAATATTTGCAAATCATATGGGAGGGGAAAGCCAAATGGTACGAAATTATGTCTATGTTTCCTACGGAATTAGCTGCTGAATCCAACACTTAGAACGTCAGAACCCCCAAAAAGCACCAAAAGGATCCAAAAGGTATAGTGTTCCAGAGATAAAAGATCGCCAATGTCAAATCATATAGGAGGGAAAAGCTAAATGGTACGAAATTATGTCTATGTTTCCTACGGAATTAGCTGCTGAATCCACCACTTAGAACGTCAGAACCCCAAAAAGCACCAAAAGGTAGAGTGTTCCAAGAGGTAAAGATCGCCAAGATATTTGCAAATCATATGGGAGGGAAAAGCCAAATGGTACGAAATTATGTCTATGTTTCCTACGGAATTAGCTGCTGAATCCAACACTTAGAACGTCAGAACCCCCAAAAGCACCAAAAGGTATAGTGTTTCAGAGATAAAAGATCGCCAATGTTTGCAAATCATATAGGAGGGAAAAGCCAAATGGTACGAAATTATGTCTATGTTTCCTACGGAATTAGCTGCTGAATCCAACACTTAGAACGTCAGAACCACCAAAAAGCACCAAAAGGTATAGTGTTCAAGAGGTAAAGATCGCCAATTCAATATTTGCAAATCATATGGGAGGGAAAAGCCAAATGGTACGAAATTATGTCTATGTTTCCTACGGAATTAGCTGCTGAATCCAACACTTAGAACGTCAGAACCCCCAAAAAGCACCAAAAGGATCCAAAAGGTAGAGTGTTCCAGAGATAAAAGATCGCCAATATTTGCAAATCATATGGGAGGGAAAAGCCAAATGGTACGAAATTATGTCTATGTTTCCTACGGAATTAGCTGCTGAATCCAACACTTACAATGTCAGAACCCCCAAAAAGCACCAAAAGGATCCAAAAGGTATAGTGTTCCAGAGATAAAAGATCGCCAATATTTGCAAATCATATGGGAGGGAAAAGCCAAATGGTACGAAATTATGTCTATGTTTCCTACGGAATTAGTTCCTGAATCCAACACTTAGAACGACAGAACCCCCAAAAAGCAACAAAAGGATCCAAAAGGTATAGTGTTCCAGAGATAAAAGATCGCCAATGTTTGCAAATCATATAGGAGGGAAAAGCCAAATGGTACGAAATTATGTCTATGTTTCCTACGGTATAATGTCCGCAGATTAAAAGATAGACAAATATTTGCAAATCATAGGGAGGGAAAAGCCAAATGGTACGAAATTATGTCTATGTTTCTTACGGCTTAGAATGTCAGGACCCCCCAAAAAGCACCAAAAGGTATAGTGTTCCAGAGATAAAAGATCGCCAATATTTGCACATCATATGGGAGGGAAAAGCCAAATGGTACGAAATTATGTCTATGCTTCCTACGGAATTAGCTGCTGGATCCAACACTTAGAGATAAAAGATTTCACAAGCCTTTCCACTATCATCAGTGACCTAGACACGTTCTAAGTGTTAAATCCCCGGTACGTTCTAAGTGATGAATCTTGATATTTGGACGTTCTAAGTGTATGGTTTTCGACGTTCTAAGTGCAAGGCTTAGAACGTAAAAAAAGCAGTAATATTCAGATTTTTTTTTCCAAAATACGTTCTAAGTGATTGTCCGTCACTATATAGATATATATGTATATACATATATACATATATATATATATATATATCTGTAAATATATACATATATATATACATATATACATATATATATACACATATAATATATATATATAATTATATATCCGTGTGTGTGTGTGTGCAGACATGTATATTTTGGCCGTCGCCATGGCCCCTCAAAGCTCCCCAGAAGTTTAAACAGTTTCTAACCTCAAATGAAACATGTGGACAGGACATTGACAGGTTTGCAGTAATAGTTTCATTATTTGTCATGGCAGCTTCTTGAACGACACCTGCCTAGTCTGGTCTTAGCCCTCACTGACACTGGAGGCGCGACCCGGATGCTCATGCCCTACTCTTGCAGAAGGCCATCAGGGCGGTCGGGTTGAAGCGGGTTGCATGAAGGTGGATGTTGCAACGATACTAATAGCAGTATATAATATAATAACATATCTAAATATTGGATGGTCTATTTAGATGTTCCTGAATGTTTGGAACTCCGAGGCTGTTTTTCACTTTTAGGAATTGGCTGGGGTCATGGGTTGTTTCCTACTTTTCCAACCCCCGGTTCGGAATGATGATTCCCAATTGGTTTTCATGTCTTTCAGGGTTTTTTTCCACCAATTGGGGAGGACTTTGCCAAAAATTCGGATGTGAGATTCAGCGCCTCCATGTTGGAGGCGCCCGAAACCTTCACTGTAGAGGAGTTCTCCTTTGAAGGCTGGATGGTGCTGAATCTCTCCAGGTCGGTTTGATGTTTCTTCTCCACAGAAAACCAGATTCAACATGATTCAACCAGCCAAAAGTGGTGATCACAGTGATCACCGAAAATATGGGGGGATACGCTGGTCAGATATAGTTTCCCACTTTGGACCAACCGGGAATTCTTGGCGAGATGCACAAGGCTAGAATGGAAGCTTTCTGTTCGACTCTGCCTAGAGAATAGTCAAGGTGGAATCCCTTGTGCAAAAAACATGTCATATTGGTGGGCACTTTAACTGGGTAGGGGTGATGAAGCAAGATGCATCCAGAATATGTGAGACTTGGGGATTATATCTTACCTCTTTGGTGTGGAAAGAATTCTGCGAACTGAAATCCTCATGGCAAAAATTCGCATGCCGTGACAGAGAATCGATGTACCCTAAAACATTCAACATTTGTTGCTGTTCCATGTGAGATTGATTTATATTGATTTATGGTATGGTTTCAAAGTGATCCCAAACGTTGAACGATTCGAACATACTGTCATAATACACTGACAAATTCGTAATTCCAAGAATTGCCAAGTTTTGTAGGCCTGCCTTCCAATTTTCAGGTGATTTCAATCGAAACCCGGGCATCATTGCATTGGTTTAAGATATGAACTTTCATTTATCAGTTTTAGCGCAATCCCCAAATAGATCAAAAAACAATTTGTCAGAATTGAATAGTTAACCATATTTAACCATATTAATTTAAAACTATGATGTCACCATATTTAACCCATTTTCTGCTTTTTTGGGGGTTTCCAATGGTTTCCATACGGGATTCCAATGTTTTTTTGGCAGAAGTTGGGCTTCGCTTCGCTTCGCCAAACGAAGGTCTTGCAGGCCTGGAAACAGCTTGTGCCCTGGAGAACCTTGGAGAAATCTCTGGGAGACTTGGGGAGGGGATCAGGGTTGGGCCAAATTTGGCTTATAGATACTTCTAGATGCTTATCTAGCAAGCCTCCAAAAGATTTGCATTTTAAGATAGAATCTGACAGTAAGACTGTGGCAAATGCTCTGCAACCTTGTCTTATTTTTTTGGAGATGGCTACGCCTTATTTTGCACCGACACACTCCCAGGCTGAAAAGCCACATGTTTTGTTGTGCAGGGTTTCTAAGATCGGCCATGCTGGTGACATTCAGAAACACATTACCTGTGTTTGTCTGGATTGGGGGGATCCCAGTATCCGGATTATCCCGGATTCCAAGGGATCACGGGATCAGCATCTGATCCGAGGTGTTTGCTCCTGAAGCTCACTCCCAAGGAGGCACCCAGGGCGGTCGCGATCTGATGAGCAGATTTCTTCCCCAACATGGTTGGCTGAATGCACATGAATACATACGTATAGTCTCCGTATATTATACATATACATATAAATATAAATATACATATTTGTTTACATCTAAATCTACATCTACATCTACATTTATCTATCTATCTATCTATCTATCTACCTACCTACCTACCTACATATCTATCTATCTATCTACCTATCTATCTATCTATCTCTCTCTCTCTCTATCTGTCTATCTGTCTGTCTGTCCGTCTGTCTGTCCGTCCTTCCGTCCTTCTGTCTGTCTGTCTGTCTATCTATCTGTCTATTTATCTATCTATCTATCTATCTATCTATCTATTTAATCTAATCCTATCTATCTATCTAATCCTATCTATCTATCTATCTATCAAATCTATCTGTCTTATCTATCTAATCTATCTAATCTACCTAAATCTATCTAAATCTATCTAATCTATCTATCTATCTATCAATCAAACTATCAAATCTATCTGTCTTATCTATCTAATCTATCTAATCTATCTAATCTATCTAATCTATCTAATCTATCTAATCTATCTAAATTATCTAATCTATCTAATCTATCTAATCTATCTAATCTATCTAATCTATCTAATCGTTCTATTCTATCTAATCTATCTAATCTATCTAATCTATCTAATCTATCTAAGCTATCCAATCTATCTAATCTATCTAATCTATCTAATCTATCTTATCTATCTATCTATCTATCTATCTATTTATCTATCTATCTATCTATCAATCTATCTCTCTATCTCTCTATCTCTCTATCTATCTATCTATCTATCTAACTAATCTATCAAAGCTATCTAAGCTTTCTAATCTATCGAATCTATCGAATCTAACCAAGCTAACTAAGGTATCTAAGCCATCTAATCTATCTAATCTCTCCAATCTCTCAAATCTCTCTCATCTCTCTAATCTCTCTATCTCTCTATCTGTCTATCTTTCTATTTGTCTATCTATCTACCTATCTATTTTATTCTAGCCTACTCTACTCTATTCTAGTCTAGTCTAGTCTAGTCTTTTCTATCTATTCTATTCTCTCTTTTCTATTCTATCTTTTCTATTCTATTCTATCTGATCTATTCTAATCTATTCTAATCTAACCTATTCTAGTCTCATCAAATCCATTCTATTCTATTCCTATTCTTGTTTATTCCTATTCTCTTGTATTCCTATCCTATGCCATCCTATTCTTTTCTATCTTTTCTTTTCTATCTATTATATTCTATTGTTTGAAATATGTCTATTCTGTTCTATTCTATTATTCTTTCTTATTATTTTCTTTTCTATTATTATTTCCTATTCTTTTCTATTCTATTGTTGCTCTATTCTATTCTATGTTCTTCTAATTCTATCCTTTGCCATTCTATTCGATTCGACTCTATTCTTTCTATTCTATCTGGTCTTTTCTATTCTATCTAGCCTATCATAGTTCATATCTGTTCTATCTATTCTATCTATTCTATATGTTCTATCTGTTCTATCTAATCTATCTAACCTATCTAATCTATCTAACCCTCTAATCTATCTAATCTATCTAACTTATCTAATCTATCTAATCTATCCAATTTCTATTCTATCTATCCATCTGTCGATTTATCTATCTAATCTAATCTTATCTAATCTAGTCTAATCTAGTACAATCTAATCTATCTAATCTATCTAACTTATCTAATCTATCTAATCTATCCAATTTCTATTCTATCTATCCTATTTATCCTATTTATCCTATTTATCCTATGTATTCTCATCGATCCTATCTATCCTATCTATCCCATCGATCCCATCGATCCTATCTATCCTACCTATCTATCCTATCTATCTATCTATTATCTAATCTATCTATCTATCTACCTATCTATCTACCTATGTACCTATCTATCTACCTATCTGCCTATCTACCTATCTACCTATCTACCTATCTACCTATCTACCTATCTACCTATCTACCTACCTACCTATCTATCTATCTATCTATCGATTCTATCTAATCTATCAAAGCTATCTAAGCTTTCTAATCTATCGAATCTATCGAATCTAACCAAGCTAACTAAGGTATCTAAGCCATCTAATCTATCTAATCTCTCCAATCTCTCAAATCTCTCTCTTCTCTCTAATCTCTCTATCTCCCTATCTGTCTATCTATCTATTTGTCTAGCTATTTGTCTATCTATTTGTCTATCTATCTACCTATCTATTTCATTCTATTCTACTCTACTCTATTCTATTCCTGTCTAGTCTAGTCTATTCTAGTCTAGTCTGGTCTAGTCTAGTCTTTTCTATCTATTCTATTCTCTCTTTTCTATTCTATCTTTTCTATTCTATTCTATCTGATCTATTCTAATCTATTCTAATCTAACCTATTCTAGTCTCATCAAATCCATTCTATTCTATTCCTATTCTTGTTTATTCCTATTCTCTTGTATTCCTATCCTATGCCATCCTATTCTTTTCTATCTTTTCTTTTCTATCTATTACATTCTATTGTTTGAAATATGTCTATTCTGTTCTATTCTATTTTTCTTTCTTATTATTTTCTTTTCTATTATTATTTCCTATTCTTTTCTATTCTATTGTTGCTCTATTCCATTCTATGTTCTTCTAATTCTATCCTTTGCCATTCTATTCGATTCGATTCTATTCTTTCTATTCTATCTGGTCTTTTCTATTCTATCTAGTCTATCATAGTTCATATCTGTTCTATCTATTCTATCTATTCTATATGTTCTATCTGTTCTATCTAATCTATCTAACCTATCTAATCTATCTAATCTCTCTAATCCCTCTAATCTATGTAATCTGTCTAACTTATCTAATCTATCTAATCTATCCAATTTCTATTCTATCTATCCATCTGTCGATTTGTCTATCTAATCTAAATCTTATCTAATCTAGTCTAATCTAGTACAATCTAATCTAATCTAATCTATTCATTTATTAATTTATTTATTTATCTATCTATCTATCTTTCTATCTATCTATCCTATTTATCCTATCTATCCTATCATCTATTCTATCTATCCTATCTATCCTATCTATCCTATCTGTTCTATCTATCCTATCTATCCTATCTATCCTATCTGTCCTATCTATCCTATCTATCCTATCTATCCTATCTATCCCATCGATCCCATCGATCCTATCTATCCCATCGATCCTATCTATCCTACCTATCTATCCTATCTATCTAATCTCTATCTAATCTATCTATCTATCTATCTACCTATCTATCTACCTATGTACCTATCTATCTACCTATCTGCCTATCTACCTATCTACCTATCTACCTATCTACCTATCTACCTATCTACCTATCTATCGATCTATCGATCTATCTATCGATCTATCTAAGGTTTTATCTACATCATACACCTTAAAATGCACTTTACCAACGGAAGTTTACTAAGAAAACTTCCGAGTCACTGGCAATGGTCATGATTAGCATTCACACCATCATGTCAACCACATCATCATGTAAACCCACGCATCATGCCAACCACATCATCATACTAACCCCATCGTCATGTCCACCACATCATCATCAAGTAGTTGGGAAGTGTAACAGTTCGGAAGCGTGTGAATTCACGGGTGACAAGCACTCTCGGGCGCGAAACCTGGTGTTTTTTTTCGGGTAATGTGGCTCCAGGGGTCGCCGAAGTAGGGCTCGATATGGTGTTTGAGCTTTCTATTTTGTGGGAAGGATTTACTGATTCATTGATTCATTTTCCTTGATTCATTGACTCATTTGACTCGTTCATTGATTCGTTGATTCAGTGACTCAGTGGTTCATTGGTTCATTGATTCACTGAGTCGTTGAACCGTTGATTCATTGATTCATTGATGAATCATTGGTGATTCATTGAATCTTCGAATCGTTGACTCACTGCTTCCTTGATTCAGCGATGCATTGATTCATTGATGCCCGCGCTCAGAGACTCACTGAATCTTCTGATCGTTGCTTCATTGATTCACTGATTCGTTGATTCATTGAGTCGCCGAACCATTGGTTCATTGATTCATTTATTTGTTGGTCATTGTTTCATTGTTTCATTTCATTATTCATTGTTGAATCAGTGCTTTATTGGTTCATTGTTTCTGTGACTCACTGAGTCATTGATTTGTTGATTCATTGATCAACTGATTCACTGTTTTGTGGAATCATTGTTTTTTGGTTTATTCAGTGAACTGTGCATGGATTCTTTCATTTCATTGCCATCTCAACAAACATTTGCTCATTCGTTGATGCGCCTCACAAAGTCAACAATTCATGCTTCTGCATCGCAAAAACAGTCCTTTTCGCCATTGATCTCTTATATAACCATTTGATTTTTTCGGAGCTTGCGCCCCGGCGCGAGCCGGGCACTATCTGGTACGTATACAGTACATATGTATTTATTTATTTTTATATAATTTTATATATAACCATGATTTTTAGTCGTGCATAACCATGATTTTATACACACACATTTTAGTCATGCATAACCATGATTTTTCGGTGCCGCTTCGCCAGGCCAAGGGCTTCTCTCAGCTGTCGCTACCGGTGTCGAAAGCGTCCAAACGAAGAAAAAATAGCCGCTGGAGTCGCCGTGGATTCTCCCTGTGGGAATGGAACTGAAGAAATTGGGATCATAATAAAGAAATAATAAACCACAATGAACCACACATATTTGGGTTACTACGCACTTATGGTATTTTTATGGTAAATTTGGGGATGGTTTCTACTGCTTTATTAGCATTGTTGGAATATCGACTGGAAAACTCATCAATTTTTTGATGCAAAATCACGAAGGGGTATTACCCTTTGGTAATTTCTTACAGTTTGCCATGGAACATTAAAACCATGAAAATTGATGAATTGTTGTTCTTAAACACGGCCATTTTCAATCCCGAACTGTTAGACTACCCTCGGGTACACTGAAAAAATTGGGAGATGTATAACATTGGACACTTGATTAACATGTTTACACCATGGGGAGCAAACTGAGAGATCGCGGATTTGACAAAAACATTGTGATATTTTTGAGAAATCAGAGGTCTGCGGGAATACTTTCTGCGAAAATTAATCAACTGTATTGGGTATCGGGCAAACATGCGGATTTTTTATCTGCCACAATGATACAGACAAACCAAACAACATGCTATTTTGATCAAGGGGAATAGGGATCCGAACCAACAAGACGTGAACATTTCGTCAACAATCGTTTGGCCCCCAAACCAACAGATGTTCAGGCAACCAAGTTTTGGGAACCAATTTTGATCCATTCCCACATCATCTTGGGGTTCGGCAAATCTGGCATTTCCATTTCGTTTTGGATTTGGAAATGGACCGATTTGTACCTTGAAAACAGAAACGGAAGGAAATTGGAGACTTGATACTGAGGCTAGCACTGATGATACTGATTGGGGTGGCATTCCATCCCTTTTTCACTTCCCCTCCAGCAATCAAACATTGGCTGGGAAATCCACTAATTAATTATGAACATGTTCATTTGCACGGGAAAACAATCGAACCAAACTGTGTATTTCCAGCAATCCATGAGGCTATTTCCAAGGTGCTAGAGCTGTGAGATACTCGTAGCAACAGATTCGGCTTGATGCTAAGGGTTGGGGATTTTCCGCATGAAGAAGTGAAAGCTGCATGAGGAACGTTTCATCCGTGGGTTACGGGGATTTCATTTTTTTCGATACACCTATATATGTATATAATTATATACAATTATATATAGTTATAATATATATATATATATATCAACGCATATATATATATATGATATATATATATATACATTATATATATATATATATTTCACTTTTGGGGATCAACAACCAATGACACTGCAGCACTTCAAAAGCTCGACACGACACTTAGAATCACCGGTGTGATCCTGCACCTAGAACGAGGTGCCTTGGGGTCAGTGGAGGTTCACCCCACTGAAACTGTCTAGTGATAAGCCCAGGAATTGGAAACCTATTAACCAGGCTTATTAACCTAGATGTTTTTTAACAGCAACATGATAGGAATTTGAAACCTATTAACCTATGATTATGATAGTTACAATTTGTAGAATGATGTTTTTTTCCCTATCATGTTGCTGTCCACAAGAAATGGCCCAATGACAAGACCCTTTGGCGTTTCCGAAGCTTGAGACAAACCCTTGGGTGGTACGGGAGTGTGTCAGCCGCAACAAACCGCAGGATCAAATTCCCATCCATGTTCTGGGAATGTTCCCCAGGGTCAAAGTTTCAGAGTCTTGTAGTTCTGCGACATTTCGCGACACATCATTTCTTGGTCCCAGATTGATGTCTGCATGCCAAAGAAAGGCCTTTGTTTGAGTACAATATATTGAGCGTTTGAGTTTGAGGTATAGCTATCCTGGGCTATCCTTGTCGCTGAGAGTCCTGCTACTGCCAGGAGTTGAAAACTGATGGACGCCGGAACCACAGCCGTTGGGGTTTGGCGACGCCGTTTGTGTCGCCGGAATTTGGAGGTACCCCATTTTGGGGTCAAAAATTGGTTGTGGCCCTCTAGAATCTTTGCCTTTTTTTTGCTGATTACTACTCCAATCCATTCCAATCTGCAGGAAGAGATCCATTTTGGTGAGTCGTCTTGTGGATAGACCGTGACTAGCAACACGATATACCAACACGATATGGCAGGAAGGAGTATGGGTCATATGCGTCTTGATTGAGTACCCACAGATAAGATCGTTCACTCATTTCACCAGTTGTGGGCCTGAACATTTGACACCTAAATGAGTGACGGCCATATATCTTGCATCTTTTGAACAAAAATGATAATGATGGAATCTCCTCAATGTTCTGGCAATGTTCTGGCAATGTTTTGTTGGAGGCCCCCATTTCAAATCCTGTTAAACATCACCATCTTTGCTGGTTAAATGACACGATTTTTGCTGGTAAAATCATCATGGTGAGTTGGAATCATCCAGGGCCCCAGGGGGCTTGCCTCGTTCAGGCTGAGAGCTTCAATGCGAGCGGCTTAACTCTGGATGTTGAGCATCCTGCCATTGGCGCGCAGAGATGATGTGTACCAGCTTTCCGATTTAAGCAAAAGATGTGTGCGTATATATATATACAGATATACACACATATATATATATAAATTTGGATATATAAAACAAGGAAACACATGAACCAGTCAAGTAGATAAAAGTGAATGAATGAATGAATGAATGAATGAATTGAAATGAAATGAAATGACATGACATGATATGACATGAAATGAAATGAATGAAATGAAATGACATGACATGACATGAAATGAAATGACATGAAATGAATGAGTGAATACACAAGTAAATGCATAGATGAATGCGCAAACAAATCAGTCAATACTAACATCATCTTTTCGAGTTTAGCGAGGCGCTGGGTCCCATGCCTCCAGCAGCATGGGCGGGGAAGCTCAGAGAGGGAGCAGCTTCTGTTGCGCTCGTTGTGATTTTTTAACCTCAAAAAGTCCAGATTTGAAAAAACAATGAGGACCGGGGTGAGTAGTATCCCAACACTTTGACCCTGAGATTTGCCAATGTTTCACAAAGAATTGCTAACCGAACCTCCTGTTCGGCAGGGTCTATGTGAAGCCATGGTCAGTCCCTACCTGGGTAATGTGGGTTTGTCCAAAAAAGGGGGAGAATCGGATCAAGGCAACATTGCAAATTTAACGGGGAACATGAGGTTTCTCAATAGGCAAACCCATATTGTTGGTTATTATCCAGTGGGGGTACGGATATTGCTAAAGGAGTGCTTCTATGATTAATCTTCTATATATATATATCTATATATATATATATATACACTAGGATCCCAAGACCCAAGATGGAACCCATGTTTGGGCGCAACAACAGGCAATCAACAGTTCCTTAGTCATTTGCGTCTGTGGCGTCAGGCAATGATCTTCAGGCGCCATCTTAGAGTTGCAGTGTGCTTGTTGGTTGTTTTTTGGTAGTATTGTTCCTGATCTCCATATATATATAATATATATATAATATATATATATTATATATATAATATTATATATATATTATATATTATACATAATTATACATATACTACACATTATTACATATACAATGCATCCTCTATGTACACACACACATGTACCCTTTTTGACATATATATATAATCTGCATGATCCCAGCCCAGGAACTGGTCTCGCTATGGTCGGAAGTTTGGGACGCACCGCGTAGCTTGACGAGAGTTTAGGCATCACAAACGGTCCCATAATCAACGGTTAAAACATGGTAAAACATGGTAAAACATGGTAAAACATGGTAAAACATGGTAAAACATGGTAAAACATGGTAAAACATGGTAAAACATTGTAAAAACCATCTGAAACAAATCAAACATGGAGAGCAACCCATCCAAACTTAGGGGTTAAGCGATGTGTAGTACACAAAATGGGCAAAGTAAGAAGTGATTATATAATTACTCACATTTTCTTTTGACCATTCAAACATAGACTTCCGACAAACCCCCTGAAACCTATTCTTGGAAGACTGCACCAAGAGCCATCCCTGGAATGTTAACTCAGGTCAGGAACCATGGTTGCAATCCGAAGGGGAGAATCCCCAAATGTGTGTGGTCTAGTGATGTAGATTTCCTCTTGCAGAACTTCCAGTTCAAGAAGTCTTCTACGGATGTTTCGGCGAACTTTTGCAGGCACTCCCCCCCAAAAAAGTTGGATGGTCAATACTTAAATGACCAACACTGATTGATTTCCCTGTCATTCTTCCTTTCATCAGAGTGAACTGTCAGGGTTTCTGGGGTCAACTTGGGTTGGTCCAGTTTATCATTTTCCCAATGAACATGTTGACTTTGGAGATCACGATGGTCCTGGAAAACCCAAAAATCGTAGTTCTCGGATATCCCATCATATCACATACATTAATAAATAATTATATATATATATTACATATATAGATATATATACATATATATGATATATATATGATATATATGTATATCACAAATCGCATTTCATCCTCATATATTGTTGCCAACATCTCCAGCATCGCCAGGGGGGTCCCCACAGTCAATCCAAGTTGGATCCAGGTTTCAGGGGCCGGGAGCGAGTGCAGCATGCGGCTTTGAGCCGAGAGGCGATGGGAAGATCAGCGGTAGATCCAGGGTGGCCATGGCCGCCATGGCCGCCATGGCCATTGAGAAACACAAAAAAAGGCCATTGAGCTGACAACTGATAAATTACTGTTATATATAAATTGCTGATCAACCTATTGATAAAATCTGATAGAGCTTGAAATTTTGACACAAGATGTAAGCCACATAGAGATGTTGACACAAGAAAGATGGCGAATGAAAAATGGTGATTTGAGCAACATCACAGCGTCGATCATCTGAGGACACGCCAATTATCCAGAGACACAGCTCAGGGGTTGCCAGTCTCACCTCTCATATCCTGCGCAGGGTTGAGATACCTACAGTAGCTACATGCTCCAGGCTGCTCCGGTCTCCCATGGTCCCAAACGAACAGAAAGGCCATCTCACCTCTCCTCAAGCTCGCAGCCTCGTGCGTGGTGGCCAGAAGCTTTGGAGCTGCGAACATGGCTTGGCAAAGGGGGATCCGGGGTTGGTTACAGTTCCATTTCACATTGCCGAAACATGATCTTTTTGGTTGGGTGAACCACCATTATAACCATGGCCCTCTGGTAATTTGACAGTTTGCTATTGAAAATGGCCATTTATAGTTGATTTACCCATTAACAATTGTGATTTTCCATAGTTATGTTAGTTACTTAGTTTACCAGAGGGTATAGCTGCCATTTGAGCTACTTTCGCTGGGATCTACCACAGAGAGCTACGAACGTCGCTGGTTGGGTTTGGTCGAACTTGTGCCGAGGCCCTACAACAGCAGCTGAAGGGCACGGTCGGCGACCGATGGGTATATGATGAGGCTATAAAGATGATACGATGGGGATGATATTTGGATGCATATATATATATATATCATGCATATATATATATATATCATGCATATATATATATATTGTATGTTATATGCATGTAATCTAATGTTAATGGTGATGATCATAGTGATATTCAGATAGTCATGTTTAATGTTGATGGTAATGTTAATGCTATATAATGTAATGTACGTATACATACATACGTATACATTATCAATACTTTGGGGATTTAGACATCATGAAACGAAGGCGATATCGCCAGTGGGCAATGGAGATACAATGGGACATAACAGGTCATATAGCCGATATGATAGCTGGGTGTGTCTGCTGGATATCTGAAATGGTGACCGAGCCTATACAGTAGTAATGTACATATGATTATATTGTATACACGTAATGGAAATGGTCATGGTATTGGTCATGGTACTGGTACTGGTAATGGTATGTATGTATACATAGATTTGAGAGGGGTGTCAGTGTGCCACACATGTTCATGTCACTGACCTGCCCTGCATCAGCACAGGACACGACTGGACGCCTTTTAGGCACAAGCGTCCCAACTTTGAGGTCAAAACAATTGCATCGTGCATTGCAACTCATGTCGTTCTGAGCTGTTCCGCTGTGCGGGAATCACATTGGTGCCGCGGAGCTGACTGGTTCAATGGCGGCTAGGTCGAGGCAGTGGAGGACAAGGGATGACTCGCAAGGAGTCGAGATGGCCGAGCAGCCTGACTTAGAGCCGCCTGATCCAGGTGACGAGGAGAACAATGAGGCCAGAGGAGGCCTTGCTGGAGCAGATGTTCCTGCTCATGGAGTAGATGAGCCCAATGACTGGTGGTACCATGGTGGACGCCATGGTGACTGGTGCGAAGATGGTGACTGGTCCAATTGGGACTATGGATGGTCCAATTGGGACTATGGATGGTCCAATTGGGGCCAGCGTGACTGGAACTATGGCTGGTGGGGCCATACTACATCATGGCAGAGTTCTACGGCTAGTACGCGAGAAGGAAGACTGAGTGATGAACAGATCCGCCAATTCAATGTGGCAGATGTAGCAGCTACTACGGCGATGCGTGATGGAAGATGGTTTGGAGCTGATCACCATGTGGCCGCCAGCTCCAACAACGATGAGGAGGTGGTGAATCCAAGATCGACGGAGAAGTTGACGGTCCCGGAGTTCTCAGGCGAGGGCTCTGATGGAGAGGTTGGCAAATCAGCCAGATCCTACATACGTCGGATCCAGGCCTGGGTGCGGAGCACGAAGCTGCCTCCGCAACAACGGGCTTTGGCTTTGTACTCAGCTCTCAAGGAGCGAGCCTGGGTCTACGCGGAGGAGCTGGACATAGACCGTTTGGGGTCTGATGGTGGGATGGCATACTACTTGGACTGGATCCAGACCCGCTTCATGGAGGTGGAGGTGAGTAAGATATCACAGATGATGTCTGATCTCTTCCGTCGTTGCAAGAGGAGATCAGACCAATCTGTGAGGGACTTCAACGTGGAGTTCGAGCGGATGGTCCTTCGTCTTCACGAAGTTCGTTGCGATCTTCCCCCTTTGGTGAAGGCTTGGCTGTACCTGGACAAGCTGCGACTCACGGAGCAGGAGGAGCTTGCGCTGCTCTCTAGCGTGGGCAACGAGTACGATGTTCGTCGCCTCCAGCAAGCAGCCCTGATCCAGGACAAGACCCTCCGACGAGGTGGCTATGACAAGGTCGCCAACGGCAACAACACCAAGTTTGGCGGCCGATGGACCAAGTCGATCCACTTGACCACTGATGAGGTCTCCAGCGAGGACGAGGAGGGCATCCCCATCATCCCCGAGGACGACCTGATCGATGAGGAGACGGCGTTCCAGCACCACACGGCGTTCATGGCCTACCAAGGAGCTAAAGCAAAGTATCGAGAAGCAACGAGAGGGCGAGGCACCGACCCAACCGCGCTCCAACGAGCGTCTGAGGAGAGGTTGAAGCTGGCAAAGCAGAGGAGCTACTGCTCTGTGTGTAAAAGGAGAGGTCACTGGCACAAGGACGCCGAATGCCCGGCGAACCAACAGAAGAAAGGAGCACCCGAGCAGGCGTCACAGAGTGCGCAGATGTGCTACTTTGTCTACATGACGGAGGACCAGGACTCACGGAGGAGCTCTTCGGCGTCAGCACTGGCGATCGTGGACACGGCATGTACCCGGTCGGTGGCTGGCTATGGCTGGTTCGAGAACTACTACAAGATGGCAGATGAGAAGGGCATCCCCGTCAAGACCGTGGATCTGAAGGACACCTTCAAGTTTGGGGCCTCTACAATTTTCGAGTCCAATTTTGCCGTTTGGGCATGGTTTGCAATAGAGGGCAGATGGTTTGCCGTGAGGGTTTCCATTGTCCAATGCGACGTGCCCCTTTTACTTTCTAGGTCCGTTTTGGCAGGGTTGAAAATGAAGCTTGATGTGGCCGAGCACAAGGCATCCTTGGCCGCTTTGCACTTGCAGGAAGTTAGGCTTGCGACAAGTGCCACTGGGCACCCTGCCTTGAATGTGTCAAAATACCCAATTGGTGAACCACCGCTTTTGGGCCTGACGGCCGCGGAGGATGTTTACATCCCAGAGCTGATCCGAGAGGGATACATGACGCGAGCTGCTGGAGACACCCCCAAAACTCTGTTTTATCCGAAGAAGATCCCAAAAGTAATTCAGAACTTCTTGGAGGAGAAGGGCACACTTTCAGGGGCTTCATTCTTTGCCTGGTGGAAGACTGCGAATCAGAGTAGGGACTTTTGGATTGAGACGGACTCTGAGATGATCCGCATTCATGTTTGCCCCCGCAAGGACCTTTTTGATCCCTCCAAGTGGAATACTACTTTGACTAGTTTGAAAGAATCTTTGCTGAGCTCACTGACTGGCCGTCGCATCACAGAAGCAATCCCATGTTTGAATGAAGGCACACAGGTTGAGAACATGCAGGATGACTTCATGAATAGTCACAATGATGTTGGCTGGCATGGTCCGTGGATTGGCCGCAGCCGGTTCGAGAAGCTTTGTGCAAATCATTGCCCAACGCTCGATCGTTCTCCTGATGCCCAAGAGCACGTCGCCATGGAACATGCGAAAGGACGAGTTGGTGACGGCCCTTCACAACCGGGATGTGCTGATCCACGAAAGCTGGACGGTACGAGAGCTGCGAGGCATTTTGGTGGAGCAGATCAAGGTCGAGAAAGTCACCGAGCCGACCGAGACACGGGGCCTGGCCAAGATGTCCCTGCAGCAGCTGATCGACGAGTGCAAGAGCCTGGACATCGAGATGCCAGGGAAACCGACACGAGGACACCTGATGCTCCTGCTTCGGGATCAGAAGAAGTCGCCCGGGCACACAGTGATGTCCTTTGGGCGGTACAAGGGCTGGTTCTTCAGCGAGACCCCACCGAGTTACATGCGGTGGGCAGTGGAGGAGACCGAGAAGAACAAGGAGGCGAGCCCCGACCTGGTGCGCTATGCGAAGTGGGCCGAGGAGGAGCTGGCTATGAAGGAGCTCAAGGGATATCCAACTTCCAGCCTGGGAAAGGATCCGGAGGCCTTGGCCTCGGTCCCACCACCTGTGATGGATCTGGCCTCCGACAGCAGCACCTGGAGCCGGGTGACAAGCCGAAGTTCACGGAAGGGACGCCGAGACTCCGAGATGGAGGAGGGCCAGCCATCCGAGGACCCCCAGAAGGAGATGCTGATGTTGGAGCGCCGCTTGGAAGAGCTGAAACGGATGGAGAAGAACAAGAACATGCGCTGAGGGAACCGATGTTGGTCGTCAAGGACACCGAGAAGTATGGCTTCCTGGTCAATGAGGGCGACCCCACTGACCCCAAGGCGGACTCTGACGAATTCGAGTTTGTTGTGTATGAGGAGGCCTCTGACGGGATCGTGGGCGACGATATCTCCGACGTTATAAAGAATGACCAGGTCTCTGAGATGTCTGCGGACGTGAACCCCTTCGAGGTTACAAAGTATGACAAGGTGGATGAGGAGAGCCCGAGGAGGAAAGCCCGTAGAGGGCAGGAGAAACGGAAGTGGGATCGTATGAGCTTGGGGCAGAAGGCCAAGCGGATCGCTTCCAGCCAACTCCATCGCTTGTCAGAGGTGCTGATGGTGCTGACCTTGGCGTTGGGCTCATGGACGCAGGAGGTGATTGGAGACCCTTTGACGGACTTGCAATCCGTTTTTGCCGCCAAGCACCAGCACCAACCCTCATGGAACTCTGTCGAGTTCGGCCGATCCCCTGTGGACTGTCTGGAGATCTTTGCCGGACACAGCAAGATTTCTGGAGCCTTCGCCAACAAGAGGAGAGGAGTCTTGCAGCCCAGGGACCTCATTATCGGTCCCGACCTGCAGCAGGAGTCCGAGAGGGATGAGGTCTTCAAGGACTTGTATGAACACCGGCCACGGATGGTATGGTTGGCACCCCCTTGCAAGTATTGGTGTGCTTTCTCTCGGTTGAATTATACGCCTCAGGAAAGGCGCAGGCTGAGGAAGAGAGAACAGGCCCTCATCAAACTGGTCGAGGAGGTGATCGTTTTCCAGAGGGCGAACCACGGTCTGGTGGTCGTTGAGAATCCCAGGACGAGTGACCTCTGGAACCGATCATCCTTGAAGCGATGGTACAATGACCCCGAGATGCACTTGGCGCAAGTGGATCTATGCACCTATGGATTGGAGAGCACCGAAGGGGTGCCTATGAGAAAGGGGTTGACCTTGCTCACCAACGCCCAGGAGTTTGCAGAGGAGATCAACAACAGGTGTGATGGCTCCCATGAACACCAACGAGTCCAAGGAAGGGAGACCTCCCGTACAGCAGTCTACCCCGATGATTTTGCCAAGGCCGTGGTGAGATCCTACGATGTGTGGCGAGACCACGCCCAAGTCGGAGTTTGGAGCGAGCATGGACCTCTGAATCCTGGCCCTACTTCGACGAATTTTCCTACTACGTCGTCTGGGTCAACAAAGCCTGGTGGAGCCCATGCCGGACAAGATACTCCGCTACCAATTGGGGGGGACGCCATCAGCTTCAAGGGCAAGGTGAATGCCACTGTGGCAAGTCTTTTGAAACGAGTTCATCAGAACTTGGGACACCCACCGACCCGTGAATTGATACGGCACCTCAAGATCGGTGGGGCTGATGGCAGTGTTATTAGAGCTGCTGAACAAATGGTCTGCAAGACATGTGAGAGCAGCCGCAAACCTGCTCCTCACAAGGTAGCAGCTCCGGTGGTGGCGCTGGATTTCAATGAAGTGATCGCCATCGACATCCTCTGGTTTGATTCAGCCGAATCTCCAAACCATGCTGCACTCAATGTCGTGGACTTGGCTTCGACATACCAGGTCGTGATCCCTCTGGTAAGCACTAAGGCTGATGACGTGGGCAGGGCACTATGTGCTGGATGGTTCAGGTGGGCTGGAGTTCCAAAGCAGCTCTTGGTGGACCTGGGCTCTGCCTTCAAGGGGGACTTCCTGACCATGATGAATGAGCGCAGCGTTGCAGTTCGCAGCGCTGCCGCCCAGGCGCACTGGCAAAACGGTGTGGCTGAGAGGCATGGAGAGACCTGGAAGTTGATATGGGCCAAGGTGGTAGAGGACTACCTGGTGATAGACGAGGAGATTGAGGAGGCAGTGGCGGCCGTCTGCGACTCAAAGAATTCCTTGAGGAATCGCAGTGGCTACTCCCCGAGGCAATGGGTCTTTGGAGTAAGTCAGCGCCTACCAGGCGACCTCTTTGATGGCAGCCACGAACTTGGGTCTATGGACGCTGCGAGCGCTGAGGCCAAATTTGGCCGGCTTCAGACTATCAAGAATGGAGCTCGAGCGGCCTTCTTCCAAGTCCAGACCAAGGACGCCTACCAACGGGCAGTCAACCACAAGTCCCGAGTCAAACCTCATGACTTCCAGATCGGGGACCTGGCCTACATCTACAGGGAGATGAAGCAGGGCAAATCGAAGAAACCCGCAGCAAGCTGGACAGGACCTGCTACGATCATCGGCAAGGAAGGCCAGAACTTCTGGCTGGCTCGAGGCGGCAGATGCTACCTCGCAGCACCTGAGCATCTCAGGACAGCTAGCCCTGAAGAAGTTGGGGAAACACTCCGCCTGAAGATGGCTATGAAGGAGGTAAAGAAGCTGATTGAGCACGAGGTGTCTGATGAGGAGGACATGGAGATTGACGAGACCTATGTCCCTGAAGATGAAGAGGACGTCTCGATGGAGGCCGCAGCGCCTCAAGATGGGGGTCGTCCAAATACGGTCTCTCCAGCAATTGAGGCCGCAGCTAGCAGAGAGCTGGCTATCCGTCGAGCAGCAAAACGCAACCAGCTGCTAGACGATGTTCCTGCCGCGATCAAGAAACCTCGCCAAGAACATCAACAAGCGTTCATGATGAAGAGATGCATTTCACAGAAGGGCAAGGAGAAACAACTGGAGAAGGAATTGCCGTGGGGTATGATTCCACCTGACGAGAGGCCATTGTACCGTGAGGCGGAGGAAAAGCAATGGGCTGAACACGTGGAGTATGGGGCAGTTCGTCCCTTGACTTTGGAAGAGAGCGCTGTGGTAGAAGCGACGGTATCCCGAGACAGAATTCTGAATTCGCGCTTTGCGTATCGGGATAAAAACTATGCCAAGCGGAAGGGAGATGCCAATATCCCACCAAAACCAAAGGCCAGATTGTGCATCGCTGGGCAATGGGATCCTGATCTCGGTGTGAAGGATTTGGCAACCGATGCTCCTACTGTGAGCAGGCAGAGCGTCATCCTTGCACTCCAATTGGCATTGGCGAGATCTTGGGTGGCATCGGTTGGCGACATTAGAGCCGCTTTTCTCAATGGCATACCAGCTCCCCGAAAGCTCTACTTCCGTCAGCCACGTGGTGGCATACCTTCTCTTCAAGCTGGGCAATTGGTGGAAGTCCTGAAGGGTGTGTTTGGGCTCTCAACAAGCCCTAAGCTATGGTGGACGAAACTTTCCACTGATCTGAAATCAATGAAGATCAGGCTTCCCAGTGGCAAGGTGCTCTTCATCCACCAGAACCCAATCGATCCCTGCATTTTCATGCTGGTCGACGAGGAGGATGAGACTGTCCGAGGATTACTCCTCACCCATGTGGACGACTTGATGCTACTGACTGAGGCAGAGGTACAGCCCATCGTCCACGCACAGCTCAAGGAGAAGTTCCCGATTGACGAGTGGGAGGTGTCTAAGTTTGAGTACGTTGGATGCGAGTTTGAGTACGATCCTGAGTATGTCAAGATTACACAGCTGAACTACGCTCGAAACAGGGTCGACAAGGTGAGCATCCAGCAGGGCCAATTGGACAGCGATTTAGCCAATCGTGAACAAGTTGAGGAGAACAGGACCTCCATAGGCAGCCTCTCTTGGTTGTCCAAACAGACGAGGCCAGACCTGCAATTTGCTGTCTCTCAGGCCCAGAAGACGCAGAATGCCCCAACGATTGGACACCTCAAGGCCACGAACAAGATTGTCGACATGGCAGGCCGCCATCACGACTGTGGCCTTACCTTGTGGAAAATACCGGAAAAGGACTTGGTCATCATGGCGTACCATGATGCAGCTTGGGGCAACACCACTTTGGAGGATGATGCAGTCCCTCGAGATGAATGGCATGGAGATCACCAGGTTGCATCACAATTGGGCGCCCTGGTAGTCGCTGCTGATCGGAGAGCCTTGGAGAACGAAGCAGGCCGCTTCAGCCTTTTGCATTGGCAGAGCAAAGGATGCAGGAGGGTCTGTCGTTCGACCTTCGCAGGCGAAACGATGGCCTGCAGCGATGCTGTGGAGTGCGGCCTCTTCCTTCGAGGGCTCCTAGTTTCTATGAAACTGGGTAGACTGGTACCTGAAGAAGAATGTGGTCGCCACATCGATTTTCACTGCATCACAGACTGCAAGAGCCTCTATGATCATGTCCACCGTGAGGGAACTCCCAAGGCACCAGCTGACAAGAGGCTGGCAATCGACTTGGCTGCCTTGAGGCAGTCTCTTGCCCGAGAAGGAAGACATCAGTGGGAGAAGCAGTATAACATGCGGCAATCAGACCTGGCCACACCTGAGCGACCATGCAGGCCACCTCTGCACTGGCTCCCAACAGGGGAACAATTAGCCGACATTTTGACAAAGTTTATGCGAGCAGACTCCTGGTGGTCAAAGATTCACCAAGGCACTTTAGCTCTTCCACTCAGAGCTAGCCAGGGGAATGCTTTAGGAAATTAATTTTGGAGCAGTGTCAGTGTGCCACACATGTTCATGTCACTGACCTGCCCTGCATCAGCACAGGACACGACTGGACGCCTTTTAGGCACAAGCGTCCCAACTTTGAGGTCAAAACAATTGCATCGTGCATTGCAACTCATGTCGTTCTGAGCTGTTCCGCTGTGCGGGAATCACAAGGGGCGCATCATTGTGCAGATCATCAGATGGATGTGGGAAAGAACATGTACTGGAGCATGTTCTGATCTCATGTTTATAATATATATATATATTATGTATATATATATATTATGTATATATATTATGCATGTATATATATATATATATATTATGTGTATATATATATATGTGTGTGTGTGTGTGTGTGTCAAAATGGACACCACTCAACTAGATAAGCGCGTACATGAAATGGTTGGTTGTTACTGGCAGCCATGCAGTACTAGGTGGAGAAGTACTAGGCATGATGCTGGTCCTTCTTTCACTAGGGTTCCAACACCATTTCAAGAGTCATAACTTCTAGGATTTTGGGGATTCTTGTGGTTTCCTGTGGAAGAGGACCAACACCATGGATGATGGCACCATTTCAAGAAATCCCCAGGGGCGTAACCCCACCAATCAGGTGCAGCATGGAGCCTACGGGGCCTCTCGTGAGCTTCTGGTGGGGTGCCGCAGAATGCGGTTTGCGGCCCCACAGGTTTCGCAGGACAGAGGTTGGCCCCATGCCCAAAACAAAGTCGTTGGGCGTTGGAACCATTGGTTTTGGTTGACCTGCATCCCATTTTTTGGACAGAAGCAAAGTATCCTGACTGAAACCACGCGTTTTCTAACATGGAATGCTCGCTGCATATCGAACTCAAAGTGCAATGTGGCAGAAACCTCAACATTTGAACTCCTGAAGTGGTTTGAGAGGACTTTCAATGGAGCAGCCATACTGATGTTTTGGACCTGCTTTGGGTTGCATGATTTCAGATGGCGAATCCTAGTTGTTCACTTCTAAAGCCTTTGCCATGCCAAAGGGCCGGTCAAAGGGCCGGCCTCGGGATCATGTCAGAGCCTGTGCCGGGCACATGCATCCGGGTGTTGCTGAAACCTCAGACCAAAGGAGAAGGTGTATAGGCGGCTGGCTCCAGTTTGGCTCCAAGGAAGCCTGACATCTATCCAGGATCTGGAGCACCCCATACTTGAACAACGGAACAACGCATTCACATACATTTACCATAATTTGATATAATTTGTAACATCCATGTAACATATATATGATCACATATGTATGCATATTATTGCATATATATATATATTATATATATAATAAAGTTTGAATATACACATATGTCACGTGCTCAAGTTCATTCATCCCCCAAGTCGGGTGATAACATGTGATAACCATGGTTTCTTTCAACTGTTTCGAAATCTTCAAAGATCACCACGTCACCTGGTGGATGCCATGGCGAAGCGGAAGGGAGACGCTGAGCCGGAGAAACCTGAGGGAAAAGCGCAGACGCTTGGGTGGCAACCCCCACAGCTGGACTCGGCTTAGGATCCCCAAAACCCCTTGCTTAAAACCATCATTTCCCATGATGAAAATGGCCAGCTTGGGAGTAAATTTCCGTTTTCCAGACAAGACCCGCACATCAATATCATATCATGTGATAGAGTCTGATAGAGAATTGCCATATATACACACATCATAAAATAAATAGATAAATTAATTAATATATACATATACATTATATATATACGTATATAAACGTCATAAATATACATATGATATGTGTATATAGCCCATGACAATATTTTGACATATCCCCAGTGTTTCAAGGGTCACCAGCCAGGCGTGTGAACACCTGGACGGACTTCAGCAGCAGCGATCCGCTCTACGCGCTGAAGGGCGAGGTAGCCACCGCGTCGCTGGTGGACGACGCCGGTGCCGTGGACGATGTGAAGATGGCGCAGTATTTGGAGGCGTAACGGTGATGAAGCCATGGTTGGATGATGGATGATATCATGGGAGAATGTATAGACATGTATAGACTATATATATATATATTTGATTATACATATATAAATATATATTATACATGATTAGTATGAATCTTCATTGGATCCTTTTAAGTATCATTAGTAGGTGGGTCACAAAACCATACACAACTGGTGTATATCCCACATGTAGAGGATTCCTCACTTGCAATTCCTGACGCATCCAAGTGGGTGATATAGTTCATGTTGATGGCTGGTTGGCTTATGATTTCATGTTACTGTTGATAGCTGCATATTTACATATCATATCATATTATATATAATTATATATATATACATATGTATATATATATATACACACATACTCTCTGGTAATCAAACGTTGCAATGGATAATCCACTATTTGTTAAATTATTTTCCCGTGCAAAAACACCTCCTGATGATTACCGGAGGGTAGTTGTTTTGGGGGTTTCCGACGGGTGATGATGCACATGTCAAGGATTCAGTCCAACATGGTCCGACACCTTTCAACCCGCGTGTCTCGAGGTTTTGGTGGTGCAAAAAGCTGCACAGAAGCCCAAAGATGCTGGGCATCGAAGGGATTCGCAGGGTAGTAAGCTACACCTTCTCTAAATCTCCCATGTAGGGGTTTCTTAAAATGGAGGACCCAAAGTCATCAAACCCATTAGACCATGTTAGTATTTAAAGGTTTTAAAGCCATGGTGACTTGGTGTATTCCCAATAATTATTCCCATTTCGAGAAGCCTCCCATGCCATTTTCAGGAAGACTGCGAAGGGGATCCAGGCTTAGGATCTTGCGACATTTTGAGTGCTGTTTTCAATACAGACATTGACTTCATCGAAGATGAAAAACATAGGAGTGAAAAGGGCATGTTGGCTTGGGACACGAGGGGGGTGGCCATGAAACATGAGTTTTTCTTGACAACGAATCACTTTCTGGTGGATTTTTGGCGCGGTTTTTCCATGTTTTTCCCATGTTTGCATCTCTCAAGTCTTGATTCCATCTCTCAAAACTAGGATTGAGCAGTTTCAAATTACCAGTTATCAGAATCAATGGAGATACCCACCCAGCAATTATTATTTTGGGATTTTCCTATAGGTTTTTGCAACGCGAAACAGCAAAAGTTACCCAGACTGATGGATGTCTATTGTGAAGTTTAGTGTTGGCTTCGCGAATGACATAAAAGGTCTGACAAGCAGTTGTTGAAGCTGCTTAATTTGGCTGTGAGCCGCGGACACCCCAAACATGGCTGGTTGTGGACCTGACGGGCGAAGTAACGTTTGACCCAGATCGAATTGTCATTTCTTTTGGAGGAGCACCAATTGTTGTGGATCTTTGACAAATTTTAGGGACAATAGATTACACTGTTACACCATCTTATGTATTGCATAGAGGATAATCTATTTTACAGTATACATACTTCATTGCAAAATCATACCATCATAATCCATCATAAACTTTACTCTATTGTACACGTCATGATATAATTGCACAAACTAGGCTATATGCAACATCTTATATCATAGTGTACTATGCCAATCCATATTCATCATGACCAATCATGTTATACGCTATGATATATATATATATATTATTATATTATACATACATACAATAACACACGTATGTATACATATATATATAGAAAAATGTATGTGTACATGCATGTACTGTATGTATGTATGTATGTATGTATGTATGTATGTATGTATGTATGTATGTATGTATGTATGTATGTATGTATGTATGTATGTATGTATGTATGTATGTATGTATGTATGTATGTAGTATGTATGTATGTATGTATGTATGTATGTATGTATGTATGTATGTATGTATGTATGTATGTATGTATGTATGTATGTATGTATGTAATGTATGTATGTATGTATTAATGTAATGTAATGTAATGTAATGTGATGTAATGTAATGTAATGTAATGTAATGTATGTATGTATGTATATAGATATGTAACATGATCAAACCACCATTGAAAATGATTTTTAATGCGTGTATTTCAAGCATTATAGGGTCTTGACAACTGTGGAAGGGTTGATTTTAGCGGGTTTAATATGTGCCCATGATGTTTGGATCCTCTGTTAGAGGTTGGCTAAAACACCCATTATCCATGGATATAGACCCCCGTTAACATCAACCAACTTAGCTATGTAAGGGGTCCCTTCCCTGTAACATGGTTGCACATGTTGCCATGTTACCCTAGGGTAAACCAACAGTTCGACGTGGAACAGCCACCACTTGTAGATCATTTTCCTCGGGAAACCATGGGTTTTCCACAGTTTGTTTCTATGTTTCCCCTAGGGTACCCATCCTGACACCAAGGATTGGCTGGAATTCTGGCAAGCTCTGGAGCTCCCGGTGCAGGGTCCGCAGCAAGCGGCGGTGCTGGGGTCCATCATCCACTTCTGCTTGGACCATGCGCCCGTGGGAGGCTGACTTTTATAGCCATGGACATTTGGGGATATCATGGGATATGATGGGATCCGTTGAGGTGGGAGAGCGAGAAGCACCATGATATAGTGATGATGCGTCTGAAAATGAGGTACTGTGTACCAAAACAATGCCACTTTCATTGGGGAACATGATTGAACACCAGTGGATTTTAAGGGCACCCCATTTCGGACAAACCTATGCATGTATATTATATGCATTTCCCAAACAATGGAAAACAAATCAATCCAATTTGAGGCCATGGGGGCCCCAGCTATTTTTTGTTAAAACCTTTCTTTTGCAAACTTGGACACGCTCTGCAAAGACAAGCTCAAGTGACTCAAGTGATAAGTTTTGGTTGGCATGCGGACGATGTTAGTAGGATTGTCAATAAACGGAACATGGTGCACCGGTGAACTTCAACACTCAACATGTGGTAAACCCACGAATCAACCATAGATGGTTCTACCATTTGAGGATTTTGCAAAACCAACACACATTCTTTTTGCTCTAATGTGGTAAGCCCAAACCATAAACCTCCACTTCAGGAGGTTTGTTGATAAAACCCAGTTCTGGTGAGTAATTGTGGACGGTTTATTATGAGTGTGATTTATTATGATTATATATTGTTATTATTATATATTATTATTATTATTACTGTACTACTGTAGCAATATTTGAATTCCCAGCTTTTTTTCTATTTTTATTGGGTTGACCATTTCCCAGTGGGAACCACTGTGGTTTTTTCATAGCGCGCCGCCCAAGATCCTGATGAAGACAAGGGTCATGTAGTGGTCATCGCGGTTGTGCCTACATATTATGATGGCCATGGACCAATACCTATAGATACCATGTTTGGGTGGATGAACATATATTAAAAACTACGTATATTGATGTTCACCAGGCATATAAAGGTTTTGACCCATCCCGATCCCCGTATCAATTCATATCCATATCTGTATCCACATAGATATATATAATATATATATATGTATATTCCTGTATTTGCATTTGTTTGTATCTATGTATATAGATGTATATAGTATATATCGCTATTTTTTTCCCGTCTCTCTCTCTCTCTCTAAACAGGTGCATGCATGTGTCATCAAACATTGTGTGTGTGATCGATCCATTCATCGCCCCGTGGCAACCTCCAAGTGGATTACACTCCAGTTGCTGACCGAGCTGTGCATAGTTGTTTCAAGCAGTTCACTGATTAGTCCATCATAATCCGTAGTGTAACCCCATACAACCATCAATCAAACATGTGGAATTCAAATCCTGGCGGTTTGGTGGCTGAGTCTCCATCAAGATCTCCCACATTTCACATGGTGCTGCCCTTTTCCTAGTGGTTGGTTAGCCAATCTATAGAGAGGTTCACCCTGCGGAATCGGCCCAGTGAGACCCAAAGGCTTGGGCCCCATCCTCGCGGAGCTGATCAAGGGGCACCGAGTGAAGACCAAGGCTGGGGCTGCTTGATTTTAGGGGGATGGGATGAAAAAATCCCTTTCATCTATAGACTATATATATATATACACCATAAAGCCGAGCTACAGCTACTAGGTATATTTAATTTACATTGCACACTAGCTATAGACCTATTCGTCTCTATTGGTTGGGATATATATATATATGTGTATATCTAGATATCTAAATTAAATAAAATGTTCATTCCTTGGGGCCTTGGGGTATGTATATATATATATATATACATAGAAACATTACCAGCAAGGTTGTCTGAGTTGTCTAGCACTCTGGGCTTTCAACAAATTCTGGGTCTGACCACGACACAGGTGGTGGAGGACGCCTTGGAGGCCACCATGGTGGGACGCGAAGATTCGGAGGGCGTCCTGCGCTACTGGGCCCTAATTTCGCCAAAAACAAAGGGGGAACACCTGGGAAAAAAACATGTGGAAATATGGGAAGAATCGAATGTTCATAATGTTCAGTGAAAAAAAAGGGAGCAGCATTGGAGAAAAATATGGGAAAAGTTGGTAAAACATCAGATTCATTTTCCCAAATTGGGAAAACACATGGAGCAAAAAGATCAGATTCAATCGGAAACGCATTGGATTTCATGGGAAAAGTCAGATGGGAACAGAATGATTGGGTCCGCGTGATGGAATCCCGACAAAAAGGCCAGAGTTGATTGAGGCAAAGCCAGAAACCAGCAGCAAAAACGGACAACGATGTGGATATTAGACGTATCAAGGGTAGATTCAGCAGGATCAATGAGGTCCATGTCAGTTTCGGATGGCTACGTTATCATGTGCTCCATTCATGTGACGTGGACTAATTGCCGATCCATTTCAGGCTGGGTCCATCCGGATGTCTTACGATCCTGAAAATGGCGCCTAAAAGTTCAGCGGAAAACACCAACAATCTGATGGCCCTAGCCGCCTTGGTTCCCCTGCAGCATAGTGAATCAGCATGCTGCGGGGTTTCTCACAAATGGGACCCCCAAATTATCATTAAAAATGGTAGTTTCTATTAGGAAAACCGGTGGTTTTGGAAAAACCCAAGTTAGAGAAACGCCCATTTGCTTATCTCTTCATATATATATATATATAAATATATATAGCTGCGTCTTCCAATGTATGCAAAATTATTGCCTTTTCAGGAATTATTGCTGGCGGCATTTTTTTCTGCCTCCGAACAGATTTTGCATTTTTCTCATGTTGCATGTGTTTGCCGGTTTTGAAACGGCGAAAAAACCCAACGAAACGGCGAAAAACACCGATGAAATGGCAAAACAAATTAAGAGCCCAAAATGTGGAAACTGCAACGGCGAAAAAAACTGGAAACAGCGAAAATTTAGGCAACCGGCGATAATTTTTGTTGTTTCGGATTTCGAGCGATAATTTTGCACAGGTGGATTATCCATATATATACACATATTTACACACATTTGTATGCACATATCCTACTGATCAGTGGGGAAAGTAATCACCACTTACAGCTGGGCCACCGGACCCTGGGATGACCTGCGGATATGCCACTGACATCCCATGGCGGCGCAATTTCAGGACTGGTCGCCGGTTCCAAGGTGAATCACCAGGGAGATCCCAAATAACGACATCTGTGGTAAACCCAATCGTTCATAAACAACATATAAACCTACCATTTGGGGATGATGGTTACCATCCCCCCCCAAAAAAATGGTGATATTAGGGATGGTTTCTTAATGTTTGTTATTGGCTTTACCGTAGATGAATCTTGGAAAGATGTCGCGGATCGCCCTGGCAATCGACCTTTGAGGTGAGATGCTGATACGGATCTTTCCGAAGGGTCCTCAATCCGAATGGGGCTGGAGTCGCACTGGATGGAGCTGGCAGGATGAGTTTTGCTGGGCAATGGCTTTGAAAAGGGTGGATTTGCCTCCGGAACATGGCGATTTGAGTGGGGAGCTGATGATTCATCAAGAATTCACGGTAGGGTGATACCCATCGAACAAATAGCCTTTTTGATAGGAACATGCGGAAAACACGTTGGATGGAATGAGGTATCCTGCTTTCAGACAAAACCAACATGTCATGGGAGTCATTTGCGAAGGCTGGTGCTTGTGGAGATGCCCCATTACACCAAATGGCCATTTCAATGAATGGGGAAAAATGATGAGAATCCATTGGCATTGGGGGTACCCTATCTTCAGAAGAAACTTACAGTATGGGATTGATATGTACATAAATATAGATAGATAGATAGATAGATAGATAGATAGATAGATAGATCGATCGATCGATCGATCGATCGATCATGGCAAAAACATAATGTTTTGACCATGGCACCTACGGGATCATCGTGGCAGCAGCCACGATCCACGCGACAGTGAAGAGAAATACCTCAGATTTCCCAACTATTGGGGATATAATCTCCAACAGATACTGTACATACTTCATGATACTTAATGGTGATGTTCAAAATCACCCTTTTTGGGGACATTTACCAACCGATGGATTTACCATCAACCCCAAAAGTCAGTATATTTCAACAGTGGCCAATGGTTCTTTGTATCTTGGACCTCGCGATCCCACTGATGCTGTTGGGAGCACCAGGAGTGGTGGAAGATTGTCCAGAAAACCATGAGCTCCGCGGCTGACGTCAAGACATTTTTGCTGTGTGCGGTCTCTGTCCCTACTAGGGGGTGCAGTTGGGGCTATTCATTAACAAAGCCATGCATGGTAATAACAACCAGAAGTTGGGATAACCCACATAAACATGGTTTCTAACCCCCAAACTTGGGATATAACGATATGCTGATGTCAGAATGACACTGCTTTACGAAGACAAATGAAACACACCTGTTTCAAACGCAATATTTTTCTCGAAGGGTGGGCGGGTGGGTTTCGCCTCGCTTTGTGTCATCATTTGGTGCCATGGGGGACAGGCCACAGGGACCTCCACGACTGCAGTGGGACGCATATTCAACTGCTGCACTCTTGGAGACCATTGGATATATCCTTGCTGTCCTTGTGGCCAGGAACCAAGAGCTTCCTACAGGTGAGTCGGTCCTCCCAGGTACCTCCGGTGCAAGCTCAAGCTCGCGCAAAGGGGCCTGCAAAGCCGTGGACTTGTGGATATCGGTGCCGTTTTTGTGAGCAAGCCTGCGCCAGGAGGTCACAGTTGCTGGAACTGCCGCCACAAAAGACAATGAGGCAACAATTGGAAAAAGAACCATGTTTTGACAACCTTCCATCAAGCGAGGTTGATTGCGAGCCATTAGGTGTCCCGGTGGGGGATCGTGTTGATCCGGATATGGATGCAAATATTGGTTTTGAAGACTTCTGTGACTTTCAAACTATGGGTAGTGAAGGCTTCTATGACTGCGGGTCGTAAGGCATCTTCGGTAACGCAGAGCTGCCGATTGGATTTGAGGATCATGTGGTGGATGAGACTGCAGCTGTTAGTGAGAACGTGCCGAAGAAACCCAAGTTGGACTTTGTAGATGCTGCAGCTTCGAGCATGGGAACTGACACTCGTGACTTCAATCCCGTCAGCTCAGGCATGCCTTCTGATCTCGTTCGAGATGCGATCCGATTGGACAGCAAGCAAGCTCTTTTCCCTTGGGAGAAAGGCGGGCTTAAAGCTATTTTTGGTGAGAGGCCATTGGTGGAGTCCTTGGTGCCCAAGGTGAAAACAAGCTCAAACAATTTTGTGCAGGTGAACGTTGCTGTTGGTGAAGGGCCTTCATTGCGTACGGCCAGGGCCATTGAGGTCGAACACAAGACCAGTGACAAGGCACTATACATGAGCGCGGTCAAGAGCTTCAGGGGAGGTTCTTACATTGAGGAGCGTGCCATCAGGCGGTCGTCAGCTGTCAAGCTGTTGAAAGCCCATCCAGATTCATGTGATCCTGGACGCGCGATGCTGGCTGAGGCATCACCGGGCATGGAGGACAGCTACGGCATGGAGGTCCTCAGTGCTTGTTTTGCGCTCAAAAGCCCAAACAAGCTTCTGAAGCGCTATTACTCGCTCAATGGCGAGGATTCGCTGACTGGCTGCCTTTGGTGGAGCAGCATGTTTGGAGATACCTGCAATACCTGCGTGAGTCAGCAGCGCCGCCAACCAAACGAAGCAGCTTTGTGGAGGCGGTGAGGTTTGGTCACTTTCCGCTCGACGGATCTGAAGGCATGCTCTCGAGTTTGAGATCAGGGGACTGTCCTCACAACTGTTCGCATGCAAGCGACCTTGGCAGCCAGCAGATCCCTTGACAACATCTGAAGCCGTGCGCATGCATGGTGCTATGAACGATTCCAGTCAGTCGCTATATGACCGCATCATAGTCGGCCATTTGCTTCACATGATTTACTCAAGGTCAAGATGGAGTGATCTCTTGGCAGTGTGCAACGTCTATCTTGATGAGAGCTCAACTTATCTGGAAGCTGTGGCTTTCGCTCACAAGGGCGCCAAGAGTTCAGACAAGAAGACGCGCCTACTTCCAATTGTTGCTCCAGCGGTTGGAATCGTCGGCAAGTGCTGGGCCGAAGGATACCTGGAGCTGCGTGGGTCGGAAGGACTTACGTGCCCTGGTGACAAGCCAGAGTTCATGCTGCCAGCGCCGAGCAAAGCTGGATCTGATGGTTGGACATCTCGATATCTGACATCAAACATGTTCATCAAAGCATTCCTTGCTGATTCTGCAACGCAACCTGGCGGTCGACGTCTTACGGCCCATTCAATGAAGGCAACTGCCCTCAGCTGCGCGGCAAAGTGTGGAATCAGTGGCGAAGATCGAGCAGTACTCGCACGGCATCAGTCAGCAATCCAAGGATCCACTGCACTGTACTCGCGAGACCTGCTCCAGCTGCCTTGAGAAAGTTGCAAAAACTCATTGTCCTGATTCGCGACGAGGCCTTTCGCCCCGATGCAAATCGTTCTGGCATGGTGACTCCAAGGCCTCCTCCTACTCCCACGGCTGGGCCTGTGACTCCAGTGCCAAGAGTTGCTCCTGTGGGAAGTGGGTTGCCAAGTTTGGTGAGGGGAAGTTGGGATGGCAGCACGTTGGAGAGTATTCTCCTGGCTCACCATACAAAGGTGCTGCACCCTCTGACACAGATGTCTCTTGCTCGGCATTACAGCTGTGGTTGAACGCTTGTGATACGCAAAGTTCACCTTCAGGTTTGCAGATTCGCACATACGATCACCAGCGCGTATCGTCAACTGGGCCTCAGTCATGAGGGCAGGAGGTTTGCGCACATAAGAGTGCACGATCCGCATGATAAGAAGATGAAGCGTTTTCAAGCAACTGTGCTACCTTGTGGAGCTGTGAGGAGTGTGCATTCGTTCTTGAGGTGTGCCGGAGCGATTTGGTGGCTAGGAGTCGTTGCTTGCAAGCTTTTATGGGCCTCCTTCTACGACGATTACATGTGCTTTTCTGGAGATGCATTGGTGCGTAGTACCGATCTCACGGTCGTCGCGCTTTTCAAATTAATTAACTGGATGGATTCTCGCCAAGGAGGGTGACAAGTGCGTGCCTTTTGGGGACAGCTGTGAAGCGCTGGGCGTGGTCTTCAGTTTGGGGCTCTCTGCAAAAGGGCTCCATATTTATTTCAAACACGGAGTCCAGAGTTTCTGAGCCGCGCGCTGAGCTGGACAAAGTGTTGGAAGAGCAATACTTGCGCTCAAAGACGGCGCAACGCTTCCGTGGGCGGATGCAATTTGCAGATTCTCCGATCTTTGGCAAGACAGGCAAGAGGTGCATGCGTATTTTAGCAGGTTTCAGCGAAGGTAGAAGAGTGAGACTACAGCCCAAGGACTGTTTTTCCTGAAGTTGTTCAGAAACTTGTTGATGTTTGGCAAACCGCGAGAGAGAAAGGCTTCTGGACGTGGAATCGCACTGATTTTCACGGCCGCTTGCTATAAACGACCGAGAGAACGACGTGTGGCCTTGCGGCATAGGTGTTGTGTTTTATTTGCCGGACGGACGTACGGCATGTTTCTCCTTGCCCTGCCTTTGGATGAATTTGAGACTTTTGCTTGGTGAACGACAGAAGAAATAGATAATTTTCGAAGCTGAGACTTTGGTGCATTGGTGGCGCTACGGACTTGGATTGTTGATTTGTTAACATGGAAATGCTTTCTTTTTGCAGACAATGAAGGTTGCAAAATTGGTTTGATGAAAGGCTTATCAGACAATCCGATTATTTGGCCGAACTTTTTGTGGAGGCAGAGGCGGAATGTAGGGCACAAATTTGGCTGGTGAGAGTACCATCAAAAAGCAACGCCGCTGACCACCCTTCGAGAGGCTTGACAGCCAAGCTGAAAGAAAACAATCGCGTTGATCACAGTGATCTTGCTGCAGTGGTCCTGGAATCCTGGAAGCTGTTGCGCACAACCTTGAAGTGGGGAGACGAGCGTGTGAGCAACAGCCATTCTGGAAAAAGGAAGATTGCATTGCTCTTTGTCTTGCGTGGTTTGATGAGTAAGCTGATGTCAGAATGACAATGCTTTACGAAAACACATGAAACACACCTGTTTCAAACGCAATATTTTTCTCGAAGGGTGGGCGGGCGGGTTTCGCCTCGCTTTGTGTCATCATTTGGCCCACCGTCCATCCCCATCACCGCCTTCACAATTTCACTCCACGGGGCCACACCCCGAGCCAGACGAACGTGAGCAACTGCCATTCTGGAAAAAGGAAGATTCGATTGCTCTTTGCCTTGCGTGGTTTGATGAGAAAAAAACATATAACTAACTATGGTATAGAGTATCCACTTATAGCTAGAAGTGCACCCCAAAAAATGTTTCATTGATGGTGATCTCCACATACATTGGTTCTAACCCCTGTTCCTTTTCGAACTGCAATGCAAGAGCAAGTGAACCCACTAGTTTTGATCAAATAAACATACCTGTAGATCATATTTTTTAACACCGATTTCACCATTTCTCTCAATGTTTCCACCAATGTTCCCTCACAAAGACCTGCACAAAAAAATGATCTGCACAGATCTCAATTTTTCTCCCAAAGATGATATCATTCTCCACTTTCGCATGAACATTCCAACACATTCTCCCATTTCTTTCTGGCCCCATTACACCCACATATCAAATCCCCATTGTGTCCCTATTTTGTGTTGATTGTACACTCAAAATTTTGCTGGTTTCAAGACAAAACATGATGGTCTCCAATCCCACTACAGTCACGAAAGGATGATAATGGGTAACCAACATTATATAATTATTTTTTTCCACCTCTTCGAACATTTCTTAAAATGACAAGGAGTCCCAACAGATTTCATGGCACCTTAAAGACTAGATCATATTTTTCGTTTTTTCCAATTCTTCCGGATTTGTTCAACCATCATCAGCAAAATTTCACCATTCAAAAAATATCCACCATTCAAACATCTTCTCACAATTGTCGCCCCATTTTCTCCCAGTTTTCCCATGCCTTTCTGTGGCATTTCTTCGAGAAAACTCCATGCGGTGGTGCCCCCCCAGTTATGTTTGTTGGTTCATAACCCCCATCAAGTATAGATGTAGTCCCCATGAATCCTATATAGTTATTGACTGAAGGTATAAACAAACTTAGCCAACAAGAATCAGCGATATCAACTCAATATCCCTATTTTGGTTGTTTCAATCCCCATTTTTCTAGGTTAAATCCATGTAGATCCCCCATGTCCATGCCCATTTTTCATCCCCCAACGGACCCAGGTGTGTTGCACCCCACCTCCGGCTTCGTGGAGCTGGGTCTGCTGTTGGAGCGCCTGGAGGCTGAAGCGCAGCTGCCCCTGGTGGAGCAGCCGACCTGGACCCAGCCGCGCCTTAAAAAGGCGGGGAGCTTCTGGGGCGGGTTGGGATGCGTCAGGGTGGATTAGAACCCAAACATGCGGGGATTTCATGGAGATATAAGCAACCTTAACCAACCATAATGGGGATAGAATGCCGAAAATCATGGGTGATTTAATGGGACTTGATCCCCTAGCCCCATTTAAGAAACCTAGAAACCATGTATTTTTTGGGATGAAACCACATATATGATAGTTCTGCCTAGTTTGGGTTGGTTTATCATTGGGTTTACCCGGCGTAAAATTATATATGTGTGTGTGTTCAAGGAACAATGGTATGAATATTGCTCTAAACATGACATGTGGGATATAATGGATAGTGGAGATAGAATAGGGATATAATGGGAGATATTACTGTTAACAATTATTTTACATGAAATGGGTGCCATAATCCAGGTTTACTACCATATTGCCTACTGTATAGACACTTAATTTACCACATTACCTGGATGTGCCTGGAACTAGGAATCGAAAGTGGGTAGTGCCACATGAAATAAACCAGTTAGATTAGCGAAAAACAGCACAGGTATACATACATACATTACATTACATTACATTACTTTACTTTACTTTACTTTACATTACATACATACATGTCAAATGTATATGGGTTTTGAACCACTTACGATCTTGGATAGCTTGTTTGACCAAGAAAATATGGGGATATATTGATATGGAGATATGAGGTGACTGGGTCTATCGGAATCTTCATGGGAACGGAATACAAGGTATATTTACCGAAAAAAAAAGGAATCTACAATGAACAAAATATGGGGATACGATAGGACGGAATGGATATGCAATCAATATGATATCATGGACAGTTTTTAAGCCTGGTGGGTTATGAGGAAACTATTGGAATGTACTTGGATATAACCTACCACAATGGCTTGGTCCTGGAGAGAGGGTGGAAAAATGTTGCAAGAATCTGGATGAACATGGAAGTTTCAGCTGTAACATGTTGGAAACAGCTTTCAAGGTACGGACAATTGATGAACATGGGAGTTGAAGGTATGGAACATGGATATTTCTACCGGAAAACCTCGGAACCTAAGCCATAGCCATAGATATGTATAAAAGTGGGATTCTGGCCATTTCCAACTATCAAAACAGCAAAAGCACACCTTAGACTGATTCATGTTGCAGTGTTCATGCTGCAGGTTTCGTTGGCTTTTCATTCAACAGAATGGTATTTCAGTATTCCTTTTCGCCCCACCTTCGGAAGCCACAACCAGTTCTAATCTGCTCAATCCTTAAGTGTCAGACCCCTTGATCCCATCCAAGGCTCGGGAACTGCTATGCGAACTTGGCGGCTTGGAAGACTGGGAGTTGGATTCCTGTTTCAACGCTCGCCTGCGATGAGGATTTCGGAAAAGGATGCGGAGCTGGGGAGCTGGATCAACGATTTTCCCGAGCAAAAACCATGATGTTTTCTGAGGGTATACCCCCAGCATTTCCAGGCAAACCCAAAGGGCCCAAAGGGACCAATAGTTTCGGGCCGCTTTAGAAAGCATTTATATAAATTTATCATAATCTATCGTGGAACATGCGGGTTACCGCTCTTTTTTCAACCAGCTAGTTGGAAAAGATCATCTATGGTTTTGGCCCATCTTTTAAGAAGAGAAGTTGGATCATCAGTATCCCAGTATTTGGATATGTGTCCAACTTGGGTGAAATGGATACTTTGCTCCTCGAAGTTGCCCAAAACCAGCAGTTTGCATTGGCCTGAAATTTTGACGCATACACATTCAATTGGGGGTGAGTCATGAATTGGAACCTTCCTCATTGCCCGTATTTTTGCAGATTTTTGCATGGCCGTTTTATGGGACATGATCCATTTTGAGACAAAGCCATTTCTTCTCGCGGAAATTCAATTTTCCGAAACCTGGGGTCCCCCCAAAAAATCATTCTTGGTACATATTTGTTGACCCCAAACATCCATTATATGTTCACTTTCCAATGTTTTTGTTCCACCAATTTGTGGTTTTCCCCAATTCTTCCTGTGGTTGCAACCCCAGGTTGCCGCCATCGATGGCGGTGAAAATGGCCCAAGGGCCCTAGCTGTGCAGGGCTGAGGGGAACAACATTACCATCTATGGATATAAAAACATATAAAAACTTATAAAAACATATAAAAATAGTAGTTTTTCTATAGATATTGGTAGATATAATGACATTCAGAGTAGATGTGATGCTAGATGAATGCTTCAATCTGTATATAATGGATCTTTAGCGTTAAGCATGGGGATATATAACCAACAAACCAAAAAAATCCAAGAAAATATGGGGGGAACTATGGCAAACCATCAAATTTGGTACATGGTCATGGTCAAATACAGCTATAGATTCCATCGAAACTTGATTCAATAGGAAGGAACGGAGTCTCAAGCAGTGGAGTTCGGAAGTGAGCAAGTGACCGGAGTTGTGGATGAACACGCAAGGAAAAGAACCGTATTTAACATGATTCAATCATATGGATGTCGGTCGAAAGTTTTTTTACCACGTGAATTTTGGATGGTCTCATTAGTCTCATTCGAAAAAGGCAACATCCAGGATGGGTTCATTGGTACTATTTTTTTACCCAGGATGGGAAGCAACCATGGAAAATGGTAGCACATTGACCAAATCTGCAGGGGCACTGGGTTTAAATTTGACCCGTTGCCATGTATCTATGGTAACTAGATGCTACCCATCCACCACTCAAGATCTCAAGATATATTCAGTTATGTATATATATATATATATACATATTTATATACATATATATAGTTATATATATTTATATATATATATACATAGTTTTATATAGTTATATCTTCAAATGGATGATATCAGTTTATATCACTTAAAGATACGTATAACTAGATATAATTGATGATCTTTCAATAACTATCTAGCTATATATATATATCACTTAAACTATAAGTTATATAGTTATATCTTCACTATGGAATATCAGATCAATAATGGATGATCATCAATCATTCTGATGGCTTCCCGGCTAGATATGGCTGACGTGAACCCCGATCTCCGAGATCTCCCAGGATCCCCACGGCCGCCCGGCCGACTTCGTCCGAGCCCTCAGCAAGGCGGCCTTCATGACAGGCGCCGCCGTGGTGGAACTGGTTCACCCTGGTGATTCAATAGATATGAATAGTGTGATGAATGCTGACAGATATACATATGAAATCATATGAATAGTGATTAATAAGTGATTCTCCCATATGAAAATTTTTGGAGGTTTGGGAGAGTGTTTCTCATTTTGTTCACCTGAAAAATGAACTTAAATGGGTTGATGATTGGCGAAACGACATAGAAAGATGGGCAAACGATGATCTATTGCTGATGAGATTCCTTTGGTTGCCGTCCTTTGGGTATGCGTGAAAACCTGGTACTTACAACATCTTAGAACCAACATCTGTGGGTCCTGGGTTATTGACCTAAGAATTTAGAACCATTAAGATACATGTGGAGGTTTCCTAAAATGGGGAGACCCCAAATCATCCATTTCATTTTCGATTTTCCATGAAATAAACCATCCATTGGAGTAGCCAAATGACTATGGAAACCTCCATATGACTTGTTCTGTGCCAAGGAAAGTCTCGGTGTCACCGGTGTCACCCCACCAACTCCGGGGATTTCGGGTTTTTTTTCTCGACGAAAAAAGGCGATGGGGAGTACTCCGAAGGTCTCTCTGAGGACGGAAGAGCTGATGTTCATCGCCAGTTGGGGATTGAACATCCATTGGGGTTATGAAGTTCTCGTTGTCAATCCAGAACTGGTCGTCACATTACCGGATTTTGTTGGTTCTATCTCGATCGCCGTTTGCTCATTTTGGCTTCTATCCCAACTGCTTCTATGTCTCAGTTTGCCTTAACGCCGGAATAATGGATGGCAAGTGTTCAAAGAATTTGCTTGGCGTGGGCATTTAATCCAGCCCATGTTGAACAGAACCCTTGTTTCAAATATCGTTTTTGCATATTCTTGCACCGTATTTTTCCCTTCATCTCGCATGATCTCCTTCAACAATAGATGCAATTAACATTTCGGCCTACCCATAACAATGTCTCCACTACGACTCTTCAACCCTACAACCCTTCGATTCAATGGGGTGAAATTGCTGTTGTTTGTGCATATATATATATATTTGTTTAAATACATGTATAAATACCCCCAGGCCAGGGGTGCCGCCCAGAGGTTTATCATGTCACCAACTCTTTAGGGTTTGTTTAGGGTTTGTTTAGAGTTCATCTAATCTAGGGGTTCATTTTGGGTTTTTAGGGCTTTTACCACGGTTTTAATCAGGTCTTACTTTCAAGGCTAGCTAAGTTACTTAGGGTTTGATGTCAGATTTAGCTTTTAGGGTTTAGGATTTGGGGTTTAGGGTTTTGCGTTTCGGAAAGAAGTCTCGTCAGCCATTTGGTCATTCCGCCGACATCCCAAAGTGCATAAAACACTGGCCCTGCGGAGTCCAAACGCACTTCCCCGGGCAGCCCCGTCCTGGCTCGATATTTATATATATATATATACATACACACTCAAGTATATAATGGAATGGTTGTTGTTTCCATCCACATTAACCAGGCATGTTTGAGACTTCCGTGCGAGTCTCAACTGGACCAGCTCTTGGATCAACTCTGCGCCTCACAGCTGGACCGAACGATCACTGGGGAACGGCGGCTGGGGCGGCTGGGCTGCGAACGGTTAGCAAATTTCGAAGATACATGGTTGGTACACCCGGTTATGTTATTGTATACATGTATGTAAGTGTACATGTATATATAAACTTGTAATATAGGTTTATACGTGTAATTGCATATATATATATATACAGACTGCAATTGTATGTGTACATGTGTGTGTGTGTGTGTGGGCACACCCTGTACCCAAGGACCCAAGGGTTGCTTGATTCTTCCCTATCACGACCCTGGTTGTCCCCTAATCCAGATTAAATAGCTGGGTTATCAACATAGTTTTGAATATCCCTTTAAACTGCAAACACTGACCTTGGGTCCTTGCCAGCCTTCACTATACACCCGATGGGTAACAAGCACGGGGGAAGATTCGAGGCTATTACATGCTATAACCAGGTTATAGCCATATTCGTCGATTCGTTCTTTCAGAGTCTATGGTTTGAAGCATCCCATGTGATGGCCACGAGGCACTGTGGCAATTTGCACGCCATATATGGATATATTTTGGAAGGATGTACCTCCAGCAAACAAAGCTGACAATGAAAAATGCCAATCTTTACATCCTTGAAAAAAAAACACCATCATCAGTAAATTGGCAATTGGGCATGTTTTATTGTGTTGGATGATGTTGGATAGATATAATATATATATATAATAATATATATATATATAATATACATATATATATAATAGATATATATATATAGATAGATAATATATATATATAATAGATATCTCCTCATTCCAGTTCGCCTGGTTACTTTGAACTTGTCAGATTCCCATGGGTCCCATGATAGGATGAGCCCAGGAGCAAGCCGCCTCCTTAGTACGAGATCCAAGTGCCAGGAGAACTCAGCCGATCTCGTTGTGGGACTGGTGGGACCTCAGTTGGGGTATTTTTGAACTGGAATGATGGTGATTTTTTAGGGAATAACTACATATCTTCAAATAGCCGAACTTTTCAGGTGATTGAATTATATTGAAATATGATCTACCCGCATATAAATGAATAGATATATAGATAAATAAATAGATAAATCAGTATTTACAGTATTTCTATTGGGGAAGTGACAAAGTTGTTGTATATATATATATAATTTAATATGGTACAGGATGCACATGATTTTCGGCCCTTTTTCCACGGCAGATTTCTCGCAGAACAAGAACTCTCGGATTTGCTTGGGTTGGAGCGCCTGCTAGAGGTTCCAAAACTCATCTGAGTGGTGACCGCTCTTCAATATTTTTCTAGCGGTATTGCAGCAATTGCAGTAGACATGTTTTCATGGGTGTCAACCGTAGATTGATAGTCTTCAGGTTTTCCGTTCATTTTCATGGGAAGAAACTGTGGTTTCCATTAATTTGTGCTAGATTTTCCTTGGCGAAACGCAGAGCACGGTCCATCTATCCCCTCTCCGGTCCGAGCCTCGAGCTGAGGCCAGATTGCGCGTGGCGATGGAGAAACTCCAAGCAGCTGTGTGGAGCTTGGCCGGAGCTGAAGGGGTACTTGGAGGATTGTCTCACTATGACCTGGTGGTACATGGGGATACAACATGATATAACATGATATAACAGAACAGTTGAACATCTCAAAAGCGGAGACAAAACTACTTGTGATATATCAGAGATATGATCAACCATGAATAAACTGAGTTTAGGATAAATTACAACGACCTCACTGCGACGTCGCTGGGATGATAGTAAGGGGAATCATCCCCAAACGGCCGAACTTGCTTGCGAAAAGGTGGGCGAAGGGAAGATGGCCTGTCTTTTCAGTGCACATATTGCGATGTTTAATCCGGAACGGGAAATGGGGAGATCATGAAATCTGAAGGATGCACCGATGTGAAAGCAACGCGCTGGTACTGTAACCGGTGGGGGATGGGACGCATACCTGGGTACCTTGACCAGCCATTGCAACGTATTGCATGTGAACCATGCCTCAAATATCCAGTGCTTAGTATTTGGGAGCATGATCCTCACCCTGATTCCAATTCAATCCAGAACTATTACGAATAATCCCAGTCCATTCCCATCCATTCCCTACTCTTAGCACCACATGGGACACGATGGGAATCCCCCATGGGGGATAGCCAGCCTGACTTACGCCATAGGTGGAGGAAGTCTTGGCATCTCCCCCGGAGGTGCCAGAATGGCTGGTTGGTTGAAATAGGGGTTTCCGAAGTCATGGGGGTACCCCCCAAATCATCCAACTTATACCATTGAAACCCATGGTTTAGGGGACCTGAATGTATGCATATTATACATCTTTATATCTCTCTATCCATCTATGTGAGAGCAAGAAACATGGATTATCATTGATTTATTCAACGCATTTTTTTCAAAGGTCCAGTCAAACGAAAACAAATGATGCAAACACTACACACATATAGGATTATATTCTGTAAACCGAGGCAAGAATTGGGAGTTTTTGGTAGCAACATGTGGTATAATCCGCCTGCAGTAAACATAGGGCTACGAGCAACATGCACAGGGATTCATCTCCTGTTTATGAGGCTTTGAAGATTGATGGGTCACAAATAAAGGACCATTTCGGGCACCCGATTTCACCAAAGGTTTGGTCAATAGTTAGCGATCTTTCTCGCGATGTTGATTCCCCTTTTTTTTCACCATCCGCAAATCTTTGGTGATCAAGGGCCACCCGCGGAATGAAGTGGTCATTTTTCGTGTGACCATCCGGACCTATGATTCAATGGTTGGTGAATGATCCACATGTGATCCATTTCTCCCATTTAGAGTCCACATGATTATTGGTGAAACATGTCCGTTTCTGACATCCCTGGTATTTTCTGCTGGTCAAAAATTCACTCCCTCATTTCAGTTCTAAAAAAAGGATATGACTGTTGATTGATGTTGATTGTCATGATTGCAGCAATTTGTCTTCGCACATCCGATCATTCTCTTCTGATTACATGTTGAATTTATCGTTTCCACGCACATTTTCTGCCGCTTCTACCAATCCAGAAAAATGTAGAACAAGCAAACTAACGAACAATGTAAAAACATATCATGGTAAATTGAATCTGTTCTATATAGTTTTTTGTGGCTTACTATAAATCCCCAAATCCACCATTTTCTGTGGCTTTACCTTTGCAAATGACATTTCTCATGTCCAACGTGGCTTTACCATCTGGTGAAATCTTTAAATTTGTCCGTCCATGTTCAATTCAATTTCTCATGTCCAAACATTTCTCCCCATACAATCCTGCCATTACCTCCATCTTTCGGCCTTGTTCTTGTCCCCCGCTGCGACTGAAGGAGGGTGACCTGGCTGCCGTGGCCCAGCGCCTCATGTTGGTGCAACGCTTGGAGAGGGCCGCGGAGGACGATGTTGGAATTTTCCTGCAATTTAGTGATGTTGATTGATGTTGATTGATGTTTAATTTGGAATCTGCTATGGCAACATGTTATCATTTTTGAGATGGGATGGGAATAAGGGCCTTTTTTGAGGGTTATGTTTCATACGGCTGGGATCGGCGGAGAATCTGGGTAAATCATACTTCGCTGTGATGTCAATGGAAATGATGGTGATATATGGTGATTAGGGCTATCTCAAAATGATCATAAAATGCCCTTGTTCCAGGTTGATATTGCAACTTATCCACAAATACGCACGTATACAAACCATAGAATGGATCATTCAGTGACCGCCAGGACGCTTCCGCAATGTTGGTGAAAGACAACAGTTCCACTGAGGCTAAGTGCAGCCGTTCTTGTGATAGAAATGGGGGAACCCAGGGGGGAACCAGGAAAAATGAATATTTTAAACCATCACTGACCATCACAAGTAAAATGTGAGGTGGTTGGATAAGTTGGGATGTGTGGCTGGTTGAAAAGGAAAACTGTACTGGTTGGATCATCAAGAATACCAGCAACACAGGACGACAAACCAGGGTTTGAACAAACTATATATATAAGTTTTTGGGATTCGCCAACCTTAAGTCATTTGGTTGAGATGGCTAAGTATGACCCAGTATGGTTGATCTGGAGGAAACACAAACAAAGGTTCAGTTTGTCGAAATTGAGAAACAGTGGGGATTTTTTGTCTATATCATTGGATGCAATTTTACAGACAACGTCAGATAACCAAATATACAAATTGGTGACCCTAGTTATAAGTTTGTTATTTATAACCCCCATGGACTAGTTCGACATAATTACCTACCATAAACCTTAGTTATTGTCACTACACATTGTAAACCAACTTAGCCAACTATGGGGCATCAACTTTTCAGATGTAACAGATGAACATCTTGATTCCTCCCAAACCTTGGGAAATTTGAAGGAGATGCACCAGAAGACGTGGGGGTCTGCCGGTGTTTTTGCCGTTGTGAAGTCTGGCCCAGTTGGGTTAGAGGCCCATATTGTTATTCAAGATTCAATTGTTTAAAGGCATGTCTCAAAATGCTGAAATTGGATGTCCACACGGAACTACAGCAATCCCAAGAACGGTTGGAAAGCTAGTGAAGCCATATGAAACTAGGAGGAAAAGATCATTCAACTCAACTCACACAGTATTCAGCAATCTTCCTCAATATTTGGATCTATTTGGAGGGTCCTCCAGCTTATTCATCTGTTTTGCCCGCTGGACAACACCAAACTCCTTGCAGGTCGAAAGCTCACAGGCTCGTCATGTTGGGGTTGGTTAAAGCGTTTTGCTGCAGCTGTGTGGGGATGTGCTAGTTTCAGGAAGGAAATTGTAGATCACCATGGTGATCAGCGCCTTTACCACTAAGAAAAATTGGATAATAGGGACTATGGTTATCCAACATAGATTTGGGACATGCACCATGACCATTTGTAATTACATCATTTCCTACAAACACTGAAACCCATTGATTTCCACAAGTTGACTGCAATAGATGCAAACAACACCTTTTTTGGGGATATCATATGTCTATTTATAGTCATCCTGGCCGGGGTATAAGCTGGTTTATCACCAGCATTGAATAGTTCGATATACCTACTATAAACCCATCACTTGTGATTTATAAAATATATATATATAGATGTTGGCCAAGTTTGCGAACATAAATGCAAGAAATAAAATCACAATGTTTGCTGGTTAAGTCCAATTCTTTGTTGAGTGATAACCTGTTTTTTTGGCACCACGTGGCACTAGCATATACAATCACCCTGAAGTACACAGAACATGGAAAGACATTCCCATTTGAGTGACGGACTTTTTGAAATTTCCATATTGTATCTAATGTGGTAAGCCCAACAACATAAACTCCTTTTTATCACGAGAAATGGGTGGTATTAACAAGCCTCCATTTTTTTGAGCTTTATGGTTTGGGTGACTCCCACATTGCTCCAGGATGACTCCATATTCTCATGAATTTGTTATTCACATTCATTTGAGTGATGTTTTGTTTTGACATTGCCATATTTCGGACGAGAATCTCAGGACTTCAGGGATGTCTATTTCCCGATTGGAGTGATATTCCATGATATCTCCAAGTTTCAATGGCTGGTATTTAGGTATCCCAATGCTTCCAAAGGATAGGTTTAGTAGTTTACTAAGTCCGTTATCACAAAGGACAGGTTTGACTAAAAGGCTACAATTTACCCAAATTACAGGAAATTATGGAAAACATCAAGAACCATATGTTCACGGGCTTTTCACGGCCTTTTCACTGACTTTTCAGGGGCTTTTCACTGCCTTTTCACATTTATCACAATAAGTTGTAATTTCATCAAAATTGCCCAGCTTCACACAGGCTAGGTTAAACCTAGGCGTTGTGACTGGGTGAGTTTTTGGTGTCCTTTGAAGTTCTGGGTATTTACATGTATTTACCATATGACCATGGCGAATTCCTCACGTGACTCTACTCCACCTGCGAGGCGGTTGACACCGTGGACACCGTGGACACTACTGAGTCCACCATGGAACCCATGGAGGAGTCTGGCGATGGTCACAATGGCCACGCCGAGGATGCCGAGGACCTTGGGAAAGGGGGGGTTCACCAACGAGACATGCGGAAGGCGGGCGGGGGTGGGGGTGGAAATCTGGTTTTCTTAGAAAATCTTGAGAACATACTCCAGGTTTGTCTATTCATTCTATTCTGGTTGGTGGTTTCAATTTTGTTTTTAATGTTCACACCCAAAAATGGGATGATAATCCAAGGGGGGTAGCTTAACCACCAATCAGAATGAGTTTTGAGAAGTAGGGTTCGACATATTCTTAACTAGCAAGAGATTGGGATTGAACTACCAAACGTGTGGGTCCCCCATCCCCTAACGGTTCTTCAAACTTGTGATGGAACAACTTTATTAAGGGAATCACCCTGAAGGGGTATCGCCAGGGTTCAGATCACAAACCCTCCACACCAATCTTTGGCAGCGTGTGGGTTCATCGCCAATTTTTGTTTGTCGCACTCTATGTTTGTTGGTCAACCAAACAGCAACCGACAACTCCAGATTCTTGTGTCTATAAATGGGATATACACTCAAAACTATTTGAATGGTAAAAACATGATAGACCGTGTTTTTTTTTGGGGTGGGTTTCCCTTCATTTTCCAGACACATCCAGATTTCTTCCTGCCACAAGCTTCCCCATGGATCAAGCTCTGGTTGTTTGGGGCCACTGCGTCAAGGCTTTCAGCTTCATTGGCAGCCACCAAACTGGTGGAGACATGATCGTTTAGGACAAACTAGTACTTGCAGATGACCTTTTTTCTCCGGGTGTTTAGAACCAGACTGGTACACTAGATTTAGAACCATTAAATTGCCAGAGAATCATTTCTTAATATTTTTTTTTTTTTATATCGGATTACGTAGGTGCTTAGAATGACCATTGACAATCTCATCCAACCTTGCACCTTGAGCCGCTGCCGAGCCATGGCTATAGGGACATCGCAAGCTGATGGAGGGGGTGCAGGTGGACACGGCGCGCCAGACAATGCGATTGGTGTTGTTGATTCACCACATGTCCAAACCCATCAGCTGTCCCAATATCATTTGAGCCATCAAAAATAGCCCTGTTGATTGGAATCATTATAATTAAGGACATGGATACCATTTGTGAATCCGCAGCTGTTTCCATTCTCCATCTGCCATGGCGCTAAGTTTCGTGGCCCCCTCCCCTGCCGGCCCTGCCGTCACCGTGGCGCATGGCGCTTCTGTGCCCCCAGTCCCGGCACAAAGCGCCCGGCGCAGCGCATCATCGCAGGGCACCGCCCGGGGCGCGGCGGTGATGCCGCTGTACGCCGCTGGCATCGCCGTGGCGAGTCTGCGCAAAGGAAAGAGGAGACCCTGCCATAAGGGGTTGGAAAATAATTCTCTCCAACCAAAAATTTAGGGGATTCTCAGGATCAGTAATTTTTGTTTAGGCCACTTGGATTTTTGAGTTGGGCTGAGACTCTGGTACTGGGATGATCCTGGAAGATCGGAACTTTTGGTCCCCAATGGGTGACTGTTTGCAAATGGTCAGTGACTAGGTTGTCTCTCAATACAAATTTCAGTCATCATGACTAACTTCAGCTGGTTCATTTGTATGGATATGATATATGTCCTCAAAAAATGGAATCTGGACCCCTCCTGGGTTTACTATCATTCTTCCCGTTGAACTTGCAATTTTGGGGTATCCCCGGTGTTGCGACAAAAACAAAGTTTGTTAGAGAAATCAATGTTTGTGATGGTGCAAGAAGTCCGTCATTTTGATGATTAAATCCAAATTTTGGGTGGCTAGCTGCTGCTTATGGTTTGATCCTTGTTTTGAATGCTTAGATCACAATCTTCGATGGCTGCATACCGTTTTTTTGTTTGCATCCATTCTTTTCATGGCTAAGTCTAAATTGTTCACGGTTGTATAAATTATATTTGTTCATGGTGAGCTCACATTTTTACATGATTATATCAACATTATTATATATACGTATATATATATTACATATATAGTGTATTATATAGATATTATATATATATATTATCTTACATATATATATATATATATATTATACAATACATATTTTCATGGTAAAATCCTAGCTCTTTAGTGCTTAGCTTTGGAATTGACATGTACAAATCAATTAAATCACACTTTATCATGGTTAAATTGCACGTTGTTTTATTGGCTATTTTGGTCCAAAATTATTTATGATATATATATATATATAATACATATATACAATATAATTAAAAAAAATGTATATTATATATATATATATACACATGAATACTAATTGCTCAATGATTACAAAACAATTTTCCATAGTTAAATCAACATTTTTCATTATCAAATCCCAAGTTTTGCTGCATAAATCCCAATTCGCCAGGAGCCGCACCCTGCGGTGCGCCGTGGCCAGTGACGCTCCACGTCGCCCGCGCGTGGCTGTCGTGGGCGCCGGCTGGGGCGGCCTAGGAGCCGCCAAGGCGCTCTGCGAAAACGGCTGCGAGGTGACGCTTTTCGATGGCGGCCAGCCAGGTGGGAAGTTGATGGCTGTGAAACCAATGGTGACACCACTGGTAACATACTTGGTCAACTATCCATTTTGGGCGAGGTAAAATCGATGCTAATGGTGAATTTATGGGATGTTAAAGGAATGGAAAAATAGTATATATAAGCAATGGTAAAAGTGATGCTATTCATCGAATGGTTAAAGGATGTTATACTTTGTTTATTCTTGTGCAGCAGGTCAATGGATTGATTTGAATTTCCCACTAGTTGCATATTTCTTTATACCAAGGATAGGTGATGAATGAATCAACAGTCAATAGTCAAGTCAAGTGGATTTATAACTGCAAGTGCTTTGAAATGCTTTGTTTGGGGTTATCATCAGTCATTCACCTCAAGCCTTGAAGCGCAGGTGACTCCATGAGCACCCCTTCTGGCAAGCCCTTTGAGGCTGGAACGAGGCAAGGCCGTCCTGGGGTGATTTGGGCAGTGTCAAAACACCATTGGTTTGTTGTTCATATTGGGCTTCTACTAACCTATTGCAAAGAGATCATTACAATCCATTATTTGAATAGCTAAAAACAAAAACCTGTAGAACCAGTTCGCAACCAGGTTATTGACGCTGCTCAATCGGAGTTCAAAAAACCGAATGGTTTATCATCATTTTCATCTATATACCGAATCTACATTCCAAATTCCAAATTTGCTTTGTGTCCACGGTTGAAGGGCACCCGAACATCCAATGATTTTAAGCATCATTTTTCCAAATTCAACTCTGCCATCAGATCTGTGTATCTCCCAGTTTTCTACACAAATCTGTTCAAAAAAAATAGACAGAAACTCAGGAAACCATCGGTGATGATCCTGCTATGCCAGCGGTTTAGCCGGCCACAAATGGATGACAACGAAGCTTGCTACTTCCCGGAAAAAAGCACTAACTTTTCTTTGCCACAACTGAAGGTTTTTTCTTTGAATCATTTCTAAAACAATATTTGTTTAACAAGATTGGTTTCCATATTTGCGGTGATCCCCAATGGCCAATTCTGCAGGGGCTTTTGGCGCGATTATCCCAACATGACTTCCATCCTAAAGGAGATTGGATGCTTGGCTAAAACTGGTACAGGGAACTCATTGTGGTTGCCAGTCCTCAGGCTATGTTTCTGCATCTCAGATTTTGTTTGGATTGTATTGCTATTCCTGTCTGTTGTAATTTTCAATCCATGTGCAGGAACTCATTCAGCCAACTCTTTGGTCCTTCCACTCGTAATTTCTCCGGATTTCTGGCTTGGCATTGTTTTTGCCACGGGTCCATTTGGACACATCTCCAGAATGGAGAACAGGACATGCGTATGGGTCAAAGTTGAAGTCACGCAGACAAAAAGAATGCTCTGTCTAATTACTGTAAGATGTTAAATCAAGCATTTGAAGGCTCAATTCTTCTCTTGAGGAGCTTTGAAGACCCTAAAAACTATGAAGATGACCCCTTCAAGTCTCTTCCACCCAATAGGTAGTTGAGCCCGCATTGAAGATTGTGATGGGGGCATTTTTCAATCAATTGTTAGATCCCCGTGGTAGGTTCTCTATACGACTCGTTGTCGTTTATTTTCCCACCACAAACTGGTGACATCTCCAAATTTGGTCTGTTGAAATCATGTTCTAAGTGCCCATTATTTATATTCTTTGCTTAAATTCCCATCCCCATTCCCATGTTCTTTTTTGGACCAACAAAACACCATTTTCCATCCATTTTCCTCATGTTTCACCGCTTTTCGTCGAGTTTTCAGCTTTTGCGGGAGGGTTTTCCATGGGTTTTCCCATGGTTTTCCATGGTTTTCCTGATCGGAGGCCTGGAGGAGTCCGAGCTCTTCACTGACTTCACGGAGAGCGCCTTCTACAGCCCCGAGGGCCTGGAGGCAACGGCGCCGGTCTTCGACAAGGCGCCGGAGTTGCCCAGTCCGCTGGGGCAGGTGCTGGTGCCTTGGTGATGGGGGGATGGGGAGATGGGGGAGGGTGATGGGATATGATGGATAATTATGGATAATGTCAACCCCGGATGAGACTAAACCATGGTTTATTAATTAGGGGGGTAGTCCTCCAATAGTCATAATCCAATACTTAAATGGTACCCCCCCAATTAAACAGCCTAGAGGTTTATTAATCCAGGGTCGACATTATGGAGGTTGCGATTTTTTTTGTTCCAAAGAGGTGTTGTTTAGTTGAATGGTGGGCTGGTGGAGCCTTTGGAGAGGGAGCAAAGGTTCCAAAGGCAGTTCGGAAATATATTTCTTGCACAGGAACTATGTGTCCTATACCCATATGAATCAATGAATGCACATATGGATCTGCCTCCATGTATCTCCATGTCACATCACAGAAGATCGCTACGCTATCATCGCAGAAGTGAGTCGATACCCTCTGGAGCCCTGCTTACAAGAGTGGCAATCGGTTGTGTTTTTATTTTGTAGATCATTGGTGGCAACATTCCTATTGCGTTGATGGAGTTGGCCGGTAGCCCATTGTATAGGTGGGTTGTTCATCCTGGTTTTCTCCGTGGTTGTGATATGGGTGTGCTCAAAATATGGAACTCCTATAAATCCCGTGATCTATCATCATTTTTCCACAAGATTTGTTTTATGGTAGTCCGAATTTTCGGGCAAAGTCATATTATCCTCTCAACCGTTCAACCCAACAAATCTGGAAAAACCCATGAAAATGGAGGGGTATTAGTACCTTTGCAGTGGCACAAAATCCCAAGCGATGTCTCCGATGGCTGAGCGAATCATCCAAACGGGTACTGCCAGGAAAAGATGGTTCATTGTGTTTGGCGGCCGAGCAGATCTATTTTTTTTAAAATGGAATTACAATGAATTACCCTCTGGTAAACTAACATAGCTATTGAAAATGGCCATTTATAGTGAGTTTTCCCGTTAAAAATGGTGATTTTCCATAGCTATGTTAAATTACCAGAGGGTACATGGAATTGTGATCCCTTACCCCATCTGGAGGAATATTTTGCTGACATTAATAAACCAACTTGTTGTGTTTGTTTCTTGGCTACCCAAGGTCAGCCATGGAAAAAAAAACGACATAAACTACGCAGGTCATATCATGCGGATTCAACCAAGCCCCAATGGTGAAGATTCGCTCTTGATAAACCAAACCCTTATTTATCAGTAATATATATATATAGTGGAATTAAAATATTATCCCACAATGATAGATCATTTATTTATACGACATATATATATATATATGGTCACACACACACACCATGATCTACCTGCAACATCCTCCAATATAATCTTATGTAAACATCCACATATGTAAATATATGTATATATATATATATGTATATATTATATAATATAGTAATATCGTCTCCATCATGACAGTATAAATTTAAAAACAATATATAATACCAATATTGATATGTGTTCCTCTCATCTCCTTGAGGCCAGTTTCAGTCGCTTCAAACGCCTGCCTTTGGCCGATCGCCTGTCCATCACAGGTGCCCAGGGGCAGTAAGGGTAGATGGGATGGTGGAGCAAACCCAAAAAACGATAGATTTGGGGAAGATCCTAGAAAGAATACCATTAATGGTGGTAAATGGATTGTTGTTTACTTTTTTTTTGGGGGGGTGCGAGAAAAACAAGATCCATGTTCCAAACATGAATTTCCGGTGATGCACTTGTGGCTCAAGAATGATTTGCGGCCCCATCAATTTATGGATGGTCGTCGTTTTAGAATGACGTCCGGCAGAGTCGGAGGATGATCATTGCAAGAATCCCATGGTTTATCAATTTATCATCAGGTAGATCCCATTCTCATACCCATATTGCAGGTTTATACACTATTCGACACGTCCCTTGCGACTGGCAGGCTCATAGATGTTGTTTTTTCCTACAAGTTGGTGAATTAAAAGAGGCGTTATCCCCAATTGAGCAACTAAGTGGTCAATGATGACACATGGCAACAACCAAACCCTTGATGGCCAACTTGTTGGTAGATTTTGAGATCGCCCCAACAAAAACTGACAACAGGCCTGTTGTTGGCCATGATCGATTTCACCCGTGATGAGGAGACATTCAAGGCGGGAAGCTTGGAGAACTGGCGGATTTTGTTTGCTAGGATTTCTGACTTCAGATTTGTAAATGTGTAGAAACAATATAGTAAAGTCCACTCTGCATATTGGATTCTGTTCTTTATGACACCCACTTCATTTGGTGGATTTTCTTTGGGAGAACTCTTCGATAAACACAACTTGGGCCTTTGTATCCTTCACACTTCTGAATCTGGATATACGAATCACCAATGCAGTTGCATGTTTCTAGAGGACTTCCATAGCAAATTGGTGGTCCCAAACAGAAACTTCGGAAATCTGATGACATTCACTGCTTAGCACGGGTGCAACCGTTGCAACCCCACAGATATAATCCCCTGCATTGCTGGGAGTGAATTCCCTGGCGCCAACTGTTTTTCAGAAAGACCTTGGACGATTGCATCCCCCAACTCCTCATTTTTTTTGGTGGTTTTCCTTCCCCATTTTTCGCCTAAATTTACGGCCGAGCTCTTCATTTTTTCATGTCTTTCCCCATTCCTTGTCTCCAATCTGCATTTTCAGGGTCAGTAAAAACTATGTATTTTCCTTTTTTTTTGTGTTTTTTTTGCTGGGTGAACTCTCCACGAGTTTTTGTTTTTTCTCTCGTTTTCCCCAGTTTTTCGCAAACTTTTCTCCCGTAGATCTGCTGCATTTCCCCCCAAAACCCCCTCGGCTTGTCCCTGGGGTTTCCCCATCTGCGGGATCCGACCCTAGCCGCAGGCCTACGACCGCATGACGGCACACGAGCTCTTCATCCGCTGCGGTCTCAGTCGGCGCTTGGTGGATGACTTCCTGAAGCCTACGCTGCTGGTGGGCTTGTTCAAACCACCGGAGGAGCGAAAAACATTGGGATCGAACCTATATTGAGGGTGTCCAAAAATGGATGGTTTATATTATAGTGGAAAATCCTGTTAAAATTGATGATTTGGAGGTACCCCCGTTTCAGGAAACCTCCATATACTGATTTTAGCTCCAGGCGTGGCTGCTTATCAGCTCATGGCTAGTCGTTTCACCCAGAAAAGCCACCACTTTTCTCTCGAGTTATTGAAACTTGTTTAAAAGTTACAGTAGTTATATATATAGATATACTATATATATACAGTATTTAGCACTCTCCCCCCAATTTTTGCGTTGTTGGATCATCCCGATCCCCATCTGGATATCTATTGGTCAACTTGTGGGCTCACTGCGCTTTGGGATTTGCTGATTGCAATCCATGATCTCTCCACTGGGAAACCTAGAAATATATTAAGTTGTGACTGACTGAATAACCATATATCACTGGGCAATCATCTCAACATGGATCATAGACATTTCTTGGAATTGAGAATTTTTCAAAGTTGTTGGCTAGGGACTTATTCATCAAATGCTCATTGTTGACCTAGAGATCCCTTTCTAATATAGCTACGGTTACTACCTGTTATATCCTTATTATATAACATACACATACATACATATATCTATATAACATGCATGTGTATAAAACACGCATACATATATATTACATGTATATAGATACTGTACAATGTAAGTATTTATATATATGATTATATATAAATAACATATATATATATACATACACTATATACACTATATATATATATACAGTATATAACATATTCATAGATAGCTGGGCTTTGTCCCATCTACACCTGGCCTCCCTCTTTTCAGGAGCTGTCGGCCGCGGTGACCATGGAGCTGTTGTACTTCTATGCCTTGGCTCATCAGAGCTCCTTCGACGTGCGCTGGTTGAAGAAGGGCACCGTCAGTGAGACGCTGATGATGCTCAGCATCCGTTTGTTCTTTTTTTTTGTGTGTCGTTTTCCGGGGAAACATATATAACATGTGTATATATATATTTAAACTCAAACAGTCGGATTTACCACTCAAGTATTCGGGTTTTCTGTTAAAGAAACCCTGAAACATATTCCTTACCTGCTCTTTTTTTTAGACTTGAATGGGGTGATAACCACACTTACCAAGTAGAGACTAGCGGAAAATTATCCCATACTTGGTTGGTGGCTTGATCAATGCATTATAGATGTGCATATTCCATCCCCAAAGAACGGCATAGTGACAGATAACGGCCCCATGTTTTGGCTGCCTTGGAACCACCAGCCACTTACTGCCTCCTTACGCTCAACCTGATACAAGTTACTAAGCATCCTCCCATGCTTCCTACCCACCTGGTTATCATCCCATACTAACTCACGCGACGCAGGTTGTTCTCATACCATACTTCCCACTTGCCAGTTGATCCATTCATTGGATTGGTTTCATGGACATTTGGGAGGAACACAATAGGAAAACCTCGTTTTCACCATTGAGAAACAATGAGTGTTTTCTGCACATTCTTTCTCCTTCCAAACTGGGACCCGTCCCGATCTCCCCATTCTTGTTGGTTATATTCCCCTTTCACAGCAACTCTTGGTGGGTTAAATCCATTTAAATCCCAAGCACTTCGGCTTTGCAGATGCTTCCAAGAGATGAAGGGAACAGCTACAGAAGCTACATCCCGAAATTTGGGAAATCCCATGGTCTCAAGCGTAGATTTTCCCTGAAAACAATCTGTTGACCATTTGAACTTACTACATAACTTCCAAGACAAATTTGTTCGATAGAAAAAACAAACAAACATAAACCCAAGCAGTCAAGCAGTTGTGCTATTGAACGATATTGGTTTGTCTAATGGGGCAACCTCCCAATTGGCTCTTCTAATGGTGGAAATTCATGGTGAACCCTTGGATGAACATGGGATATGGGTTATGGTCATCCATCTCATTTTGGAAATCCTGGATTCATAGGAATATGAACCCCCTCTGAAAATGGATTGATGACCATGGCACACCTATTGTTGGTAATGATGTATATAGTTGTGCATATATATATATATATGTATGTATGTATATATATATATATCCTATTATGGACTATAGGATGTGTATATATATATAATATATATATATATATGGTCCAGCGTTCCAAACCCTCCCCGGCCATGGTCATGGTTCAGCCACAGTACTGTCCCCCCTTCCACCCCCCCTGTGGTGTGGCCCCCCTGTGGTGTGGTGGGGGTGTGGTACTGTATGGATGGTAGGTATGGTATGTATGGCATGTATGTTTGGATATGTTTGGTATTGTATGTATGGGAGGCGTGGTAATTATGTTTCATATGTATGGTATGTGTGGTATGCATGATAGGTATGATAGGTATGGTATGTATGGTCAAAGTTCGTATGGTATGTATGGTACGTATGGTATCATTGGAATGTATGGTAGGTACGGTATATGTTAAACACATGTAGTGTTGTGAGAGTACACAGGTAGTAGTAAATAGGAAGTAGATACATATCACATGTATATATGACTATAGGTAGCACGTACGTACTTTGAGGGAGTATGTGTGCTGCGTAGGTCGTCTAAAAGGTAGCATGTACCTAGTAAATGCGAGGCTGGTAGTCAGAACTGCTGCAAAGACCTAGCAAATACGAGGCTGGACCTCAGAAATGCTGCCAATACCTTGCAAATAGAAGGAAAGGGGGTGCTACCTGGGGACCCATACCATTGGGGGGGTGGGGGGTAGGAACACGGAACACGAGACCATATATACATACATATATACATATAGATATTATAGCCAACAATAACTATATGTCCCATGAAATCTCAAGTATATCCCATTTATGATGGCTATACGGCTATATATCTTCCCTTATATAAACCGGGCAGCCCCAGGAGCCCCATGTTGGACCACCTGGTGACGCAGCACGGCTTGACGCTGCGCGGCAACACCTTCGTGGAGGGCCTGGATTTGGACGGCGACCGAGTCTCTGGGCTGCGCTGTCGTAGCAGGGGCGGCGGCAGCGAAGTCATGGAGGCCAGGGCTGGCAGGGCTGGTTGGAGGATCGTCCCATATAGTTGTTAGATGTTGTTAGTAAATGGGCTTACAACATCTTATAACCCACGTATCTCACGTATAAATGGGAAAAGCTACTGGGTACAAGTAGAAATTCCACGCTTTGATCAGCATTTTTCTTACTAAATGGCGACAATTGGGGGCATACAACAACCGAAATGATAGAAGAGATTCAACTCCGACTAAGACATTGGTAATTTACTTTTCTTTCTTTCGGGGGTTGCTACAACATTATTACCAAAAAAGACTGCGGCTGGAGTCGGACCCAAGGTGGGAAGTGAACAGAATTAATTTTAGCTAATGATCAAAATCATTGATTTAAACATCAACAAGGGGAATATAATGAGATTAAAAAGGACTTCCAAGCAATGGCAGCAATATTTTAAGTGAGTTTGTCTCTAAATCGTGGGTTTACCGCAAATTCTATGGCTATCAACTGACATTTGCGGTTTTCTTCCATGGGATGGGCTCCCAATGTTGAGACAACTCCATATCCATAGGTTCACGTTGACTGGAGGATACTGGAGGCTATTTGACATGAGCTATGGTCAATACTCATGGTTAAGCAAACCATTAAAAACGGGGCTAGTCATCCAATGGTGATTTAATGGGATTTATTTCATAACCATTATTTTTGGATCCTTATTATGGATGGGATGACCATCAACCATATAGTGAGTATTGACCATGGCTCACATGGGTCCTGCAGTAGGATTCCTGGCCCTGGTCGGGCCCCAATCCGTCGTATCATATTCACCACTGAATTTCACCCTGATCGTGGGAGAATGGATCGGTCGGGCCCCAGTTTTTGGTGATTGTCCAAAGGTGGGGAAATAAGCTACAAACACGAGGACCAACAAATACCCAACAAGAATGGGTCTAGGCCACCAAATGTCGCCAATCGTTGGGGAGGCGTACCCAGATCAGTTTTGGCGGGTTTTTGATACTCTGCGTGATTGTTTTGCGGGAAAACAGATGGATGGTCAGCACTTAAGGACCCTTCCGGGAAAATTGTAAGGATAGTCAACCAATGGGTATTCAATTCGCCAGAAGTCTCGAACAAATGTGGATGGTCAAACCCCTCACTAGGATTGAATTTATTTTCAAAGAAACTGGCAAGCTGGTAAGTGGGATAGTTCCCTGCAATGTTTTGGGTTGAAACCCTTCTACGAGAAGTAATTATATACATGGTGGTTCATCCTACAAATCGATACAAATCGTAAGTATGTCAAATACCTGGTCATTTTTGTTGGGCAAGTCGAGTGATCGCCACTTGCTTTTTATTGCTATTTGTTATACATATAATATATATATATATGTCATACATACATAATTAAACGTATCTGGTGAGTGCTTTCAGTTTTGTTTTTTTTTTCAATCCTGGGAAGATGGTCCGAATATAGTTGTTTCCCATATATTTCAGATGGGCTTTTTAGGCACCCAAGCCAGATAATATTCATATGAAGGTTTCCCAAGTCATGGCAGTAACCGCTACCCCCAGTTCTCATCCATTTTATTGGGGATTTTCCATGAAATAAACATCAACCATCCAGCTATTGGGGATCCCCCATGGCTAAGCCGTCATGGGGTGAAGCACCACAGGACCTGGACGCAGTTGTTTTGGCCCTGGGTGCCGGCGGCTTAAGGGCTGTGCTGCGAGGGAGCCCGCAGTTGGCCAAGCTGTGCCCCAACCTCTCAGCCGCAGGCACGGCATACAGCTATAATTAAGAACTGTGAAATTGTTAAGGATGAGGATGAGGATGATGGGGATGAGGATGAGGATGAGGATGATGAGGATGAGGATATGGATGAGGATGAGGATGAGGATGAAGATGAGGATGATGATGAGGATGATGATGATGATGATGATGATGATGATGGTGATGATGGTTATGATGGTTATGATGGTTATGATGGTTATGATGGTTATGATGGTTATGATGATTATGATGATTATGATGACTATGTTGATTATGATTATGAGGGTTGTTGTGTATTGTTATGTATTGTTATGTATGGTCTTGTATGGTTATGTATGCTTCTGTATTGTTATGTGTTATTATCACAGTAATGCTAGTGTAAGGGAATGCTATTGATGTCTCTTTTGACACTGGTTGATAGACGGGTCACCCTGAGTTTCAACGACCAAGAGGTAAATGAGAAACCGGCCACTCTAATTTTCACCATATGCTGAACTCAGGCCTAAGTGGAGGTTATCTTTCCATGTTTGGCCTTGAATTTGGGATTTCCCAAGAGAAGGTGACCAGTTGGTCACCTGGCCCAGGATCACTGGGTGGAGTGGATGTGATGTCCGCTCGCATTTGGTTTGACCGCACAGTTCCCACAGAGACGCCTGCCAATGTCTTCTCGCGATTTCGAGGTCAGTATTCCCAGGATGTTTTGATGGGTCACAAGTGGCGGATAAGACGCGACCCTGATGACAGAAATGGGGATGAAGGATCAAACATAGCGGGTAGAAAAACAGGCGTGCAATCTACACGCAGTAAGTCGAGAAGTTTCGATCAACCAAAAAGGCGACTTTCGCCAAGAAGTATGAAGAGTTCTGTGCTCCAGAAACAACCAAAGCTGGGGATTTCGCCAATTCAAACACAACGTATGTGAGTTTTAAGCGACAACAATTGAGCTTAAGTCACCCAACATGGTGATCTTAGCTTTTTTTTCCCAGTATTTCATCCAACAGAGAGGTTTTCCACCATGTTTCCAGCATGTTCCGATTTTTTCCAACCTGTTTTTCCCAACCTTTTCTTCCAAACCCCTGCACCCTACGAGGTCTGCGCGGCGCGGGTGGCACCTTCTTCATGCTGGACCAGCTGCAACCCGACGCTGAGGCACTCTGGGCCGGGGCGCCAGCGGGCTCCGTGGTGGCCTGTGATTTCTACAACGCTGGGGCCCTGCTGCCGCTGAACGATGAGGCTGGGATGATCATGACACAGGACACACATCATGGACTCTATGTGTGTTGCTTAGACTTTACGTTTGTTGGTTACCTCAAGTTTCAGTCAGGAAGCATGTTCATACTATATTTGTTGGATAGATTTGTAGTCCCTCTTCATGTTGGTTTGATTTACATATTCTGCTTTCAAATTCACAATCCCTTGTGTTAGAACTCTGTTCTTCGGTTGTGAACGTTTCTGTTTACTTCAGGACATTTGTTGGGTTTTGCTGGTGAAATTGCTGTGACATCACCCCATGTTCTTGTCATACGACCCCAGATGTTCTCACTTTTTCTCACAAAAAGTCTTGCACATCCCTCTTCATTTCCAGGTGATTTCTCGATGTTTTTTCAGCCTTTCCGTGGCCTTGGTTCCCTCCCAGCATCCCATCCACTGGCGAGGAAATTCTGAGGCTTTTGACGGAGGAGCTGCTGCCTGCAGCTGTGCCGGCCTTCGGCAACGCCAAGGCGCGGCAAAATACGGAGATTTTGACATAGTCGAAGCATGTCGAAGCAACATGGGGAGATATCAACAAAATATGGAGATATCATAATTCTGACTAGTGAACTGGCTTTACAAGCCAACAAGACTGGGGGGACCACATTACCAGGGTTAATTGACTAGTGAAGGGTTGGTTGTTTGTTTAAATTTTTCACTGTGATGCGAACATCGAGAAACCAGCCCTTTGCCTTAATAGTTTTTACAAGGCATCGAAGGTTAACTATGTCTTCAACCTTGACCATGGACAATGAATGGCAATATTTTTGTTTGCAGAGGATTGAAATTCCTGTTAAATATAGGGTGAATTCGGTATCTGGGGTGGGGGCCCCTGACTGCACCTGGATTTTAAGAGCCAAATTTAACACATGCGACCGCAATCTCAAATCGGGACCGATGCCCACAGGAAGGTATATTTTCCATAGCTAAGTTGGTTTATAAGTAGGTTGACTGGTAGATATCGTAGATGTCTATAGATAGATGGGGGTTATAAGTTAACTTATAACTGGCGTGGCCATTCCTGCAGTTGTTTTTGATTTTGTCAAACCCCTTGGGTTTCACCATACCAGATGACCCAAAAATGCCGAGTTGACCCGTCCCAAGCACCCCCTGGACCCTGAGTTGTCCTGCGACAGCTTCTTCACTGGTTGGTGGTTTTATTTTAAGGTTTTGATTTCAGAGGAAATGCAAAACATATATATATATACATACACATGTATCTAAACATAACGGAATATATATCATGATATCCCACCACATCCCAACATATATATATATTATATAATGTGTATATATATATATACAGTATATATATATATATATGTACATATCATATATCTATAAAATACAAAACATAACAACATCTATCCCCAACATATGGGATGATCCAGGTGGTGGACAGCCACGTGATGCGCTTCCCAGCGGCCGTGAGTTGGTTCTCGCCTGGATCCTACGAGAAACGGCCCACCCTCGAGACGCCGTTGAAGAACTTGGTCTGTGCAGGTGGAAAGTCATGAACGTCCGGTGCAAAATATGTGGTACCCTCTGGTAGTTTAACATAGCTATTGAAAATGGCCATAGAAATAGTGGATTTTCCCATTAAAAATTGTGATTTTCCATAGTTATGTTAGTTTACCAGAGGGTAAATGATGAAATGATGGGAGTAGGAGTTAAGGGGGATTATCTCCAAATAATATACGTTGCCCAAGTGGTGGATAAGAACAGCAATATGCATCGCTGGCCACTGGTGGTGTTCCGAAAATTCAGGGTTGTCCCATGGGGAACTCTATGTTTGGTGAGTCTAGTGGTGAATGGGTCATATCAAGTAGCTTTGTCAGATTTAAGGGGATGAGCAAAGCATGATTTTGAAGCACTGATCCCATTCCATCCTTTCGGATCAATCGGCTTGAGATGCTCCCCATCTTGGCTGGAAAAGCAGCCCGAGTTCCTGGACCTATATATCCCAGTGATTACATTCCCAATCCATGATCATTACCCTCTGGTAAATTAACATAACTATGGAAAATCACCATTCTTAATGGGAAAATCCACTATAAATGGCCATTTTCAATAGCAAACTGTTAGTTTACCAGAGGGTACCTGGATTTGCTCAAGATGCTTTTGTTGGATTCCGATGGGTTAATGCAGCGCCCAAGGGCAACCCCACGGATTTTATTCCAAATTATATCCCGAGCTACTTCTCATTGCGGTACATTACCTCGCATTGTATTATATCATAGTACCTTACGTGAAGTACACATCCCATTACATATCCCATTTATACATATCTATAGTTGTTACTTACACAGTTGTTATACTTTATATCCTTATATTATATTCCAATTATTATCAATTATCCATTTTTTTCCAATTGCATCGCACAAGGTGACGCCCCCCCAGTTCTAAGTTGGTCTATAAACCCATGAATACTATTATAGTTATATTCCCCATAAACCCAACAGCTAACCAAGTTATGTGCGTCAACTTTGCTATCGAACGGGGGCCTCACCTTGCAGTTGTTCTTCCCAGCCCATCTCTCGGATAGTTGTTGTTGTCCCAGTTGCTATATCATATTATATTATATTATATCCATCATCAATTCCATTTATTACAATCAAACATATCAGTTCTATCCCCAGTTACAAAATCATTTCTTAGTCCTGCTATGCCCATGAAAAATCCCAGTAAACATCATATCCCAGTGATATCCCCAATGATCTCCCAGTTCTTCCCCGTCTCTAGGCGATTGGGTTCGCATGGGCGATCGCGAACACGGCGCCAAGGGCCTCTGCCAAGAACGGGCGCTGGTCTCTGGGCTGGAGGTGCCGATGTTTTCATCTTGGGAACTCCACGGTTTTCCACGAAAAATTGAGGTTTTATAGCTGGGAAAATCATCGACCTATTGCCGGGGGAGTTGCCAGCAAGCCATATTTGATACCCACTATATAATATATATATAATTATATATATATACATATTATAATATATTTATAATATGTATATATATATATATATATACATTGTAAGATATATATATGTATATATACTATAATATATATATATATATATACGGACTATGTTCCCCAATAAATTGTCTAAATCATCGGATAGTCTGGTGTATGGGATGTATGACACAGAATCGAGATGATTTGTGGTGCAAGCCTTCTGTTGGTTATTAGATTTTGGTGGGTTAAAGATAGAGATCCTGTTTTCCCTGGGGAGGGGCTGGGATTGGCTAGCCATGGCCAGATGGGAATCTGAAACTATGGCATTTCTTTACCGGTAAGGAAGCCATAGCTCATGTTGTTCGCTGAATTTTTCACACACTAAAAACATGTGATTTTCCATGGTTATGTAACCAATGACCTGAGGGTAATCCTCTGGTAATTTAACATAGCTATGGAAAATGGCCCATTTATAGTTGATTTACCCATTAAAGATAGTGATTTTCAATAGCTATGTTAGTTTACCAGAGGCTAACCCTCCCGATTCTCAGGATTAACCGATCTACCGTATCCAAGCCTGGCAGAAATACGCAACAATTGGATCTGGGGATCTGGTGGCTAGATGGCCAAACTGGAAACAAAACCTAACCTAAGCACTGCCTAAGGACCCGGATGGATCCCTTAGCATAAGTGGTACATATTCCACTACATAGTCCACTTAAAGTGGTGATGTTATAACTGGTCTATATTCCCCTTCTTGTATCCCAGTGATCCAGTGATCCAGTGGGAATCTTACTGACTGTGATTGGTCTCCAGAACTTATGATATGGATCCCTTCTGACTTTCAGGAGTGCATCGTTATATGATGTTATATGTACATATATACATGTATATATATATATATACATATGTATACAAATTATATAACATATTTAATATATGTATATATGCTAATATATTTGATATCCACTTTGTACCCCACTTCCAAGAATTGAATGAAGGGAAAATCTGCAGGAACCCCTATATTTGGTAAAAATGACCATGCGATTTTCCCTTAGAAACCAATCCAGTGACCATTTTAGTTTCTTACAAAACCATATATTGTGGTAAATTAGAGGTAGTGTTTAAATATCCGATTGCTAGTAAAACTGTAGGTATTTTTTTTAGATATTTACTCATTAGAAGCAACCAAACTTGGGGTTTTCCCCTGGATTTGGCTGGAAGACCACTGGTTTCCTGTAGATTTTCCAACCAATCCTTCAGCAGGCAGCCAACCTGCTGGCGCGTCGAGGCGTGCTGGGCGCGTCCGGAGGCTCAGCGATCTATGGGAGCCTGGGAATCATACAATGTGCCCCCCCCCACCAGGTAGAAGTTGGTTTTTAACTACATTAACCAATGTTAACTAATGTTAAGTAATGTTAATTAATTAATATTAACTATATACATATATATATATATAATTGAACTATAGATTTATAGAATGTTAATTATTCATAACTTCTATAGTTTCTTTTGTGGGAAACCCAAAGCAATAAACCTACCAAGACTGGGAATGGTCAATACAACCACTCCACCCATAAAAACGGTGATGACTTCGGGATGGTTTATTAATTTTATTACTGGGTTTGCCACATTAGATATACCGACCAGACTTGTCCTATAGTTACAGTTTTTTTTTTGAGTTATAAGCCAACCATCTATTTTACCAAGAAAGTCTGGGGATACTGGATGATATGGTAGTAAACGCAGTAAAAATCGAACATGGCAGGCCCATGGGAAATCCCGTCCACGGATGTTTATTGCTGGGGAAAAAAAAGAACTGAATTGCAGATTTTTGATTGCGATGTTTGATATCAGGCGTATGTTTTTGTTTCTTCTGTAGTAATCCACTCAAAAGATAGAACAGTATTTACTTGACCACTCTTTGAGTGGGATTTCTTTTTTTTTTTGCGGGTTGCTATGCAACATCCATATTTTTTTTTCCCTCGTCGACAGTTTTGAGCCATGGTTTCTGCGCTCCTTGGTCCATGGCATTCCATGGCTACAGCACCCAAAATGTCGAGATCATCCAGGAATCGTAGTTGATTTAGAATGTGAAGCCTGGATCAATAAAAAAACATTTTTTTTTATACCATGGAAGTCCACCAGTCCACCATTGACAATTCATTTCCTATCACTGGGAGACCTCCGAGTAACGGTCATCCCTTGAGGTCCAAAGAGCACGACGTCATCCCGGTAAGAGATGATGTCTTGTGGCTGCACAGCGCTGCACAGCGCTGCGGTGGGGAAAAGACGCCTTAAAAATCTGTGGGGTCCAAGAGTCCCATAGCCCGAAGGTCTTTTTTTGGTGTCAGTTTCGCGTGAAGCATTTGACCTCAGCCTCAACCTCGGGAGGATCCAGACCGATCTTAAATCCCCACTATTGACCTTACCAGCTGGGGTACCTAGTATCTATACCATCCCATACCTATTGTTTGTCAATATCCCCTATTTGTTGGGTTTAGTCCCCATTTCTGCGTATCTGGGTTTGTCTCAAAATGCGGGATGCCTCAATTTATGAGAGCGTGATTTTCCAAACCATAGATATCTTAGGTGTAGCAAGTTTTTGGGACGCACCCATATCCCTGATGTCTGATGACTAGCCCCGTTATGCCCCGTTTTCAGATGCTTAAATCCAGCTTCCCCAATTTCTGATGATCAAATCATGTCAAGTAGCAACTTTGATATAGTGGTAACATTAAGTTTTAACCGTTAAAACCCCATTTGTTGATGTTAAAACAACTGGGTGATTTGTTTTTTTTCAAACACACGTCACCTCTATTTTATTGATAAACACCCTTTAAAAAACACCCCAACGACGAAGGACATCGCCAACAACGCTGTAAGGAGCTCCAAGTGCAGCTGGGACGTGCTGCCAACAAGACTGTGGCCCAAGTGTGCCTTGGTTGTCGCCATTGGTGATGGTCAGAGGTCGCAAAGAAGATAGAACAGTAATTAATTCTTCACATGATTTCACATGTCTTTTCTATCTTTTTGGGTTACCATCATGGTACTTTTTGATGTTTTTTCAAAACCATTGTTTGGGTTACCTGGTTACCTGCCCGGTTATTCGTTATTTTGGCAAAGGCAACTGCCCGGCCGGGCGCTTGTGGATGACCTTGATGGGAAATTCTTGGCGATGCGTCTGATGGTTCATCAGCCAGTGGAGTAGACATACCCATTGGATCCCATTGGTTTGGTTGGTAAAAATATGTAAAAATGCTTTAACGGCTTCAGCCATACAGGACTATAGCATACTATAGCACCATTCCCACTCGAATCTTGAAATGGAAAAGGTGTTTCCCCGTTGAAAGAGGTTCCTTTTCAAAGGTTCCTTACAATTTTCATACAATTTTCTAAGAGACGCCAGGTCCCCACACTCGCCGAGGCTTGGTCCTCTGGGCCTCAGCAGCCCCTGGGTCCGTTGAACGATTTTCTGCGCGGGGGTCACCTTGGAGGTGTGCCCCCAGCACCGATAGAGGGGGAAGAACAATGGCATGGCGCAGAAACTTTTCCCCTGAAACTGGAAGATACAAAAACTGGAAGATCTACCATGATCTACCGAAGATTTGTTTTTTGTATCTTCCAGTTGCGGGCTGAACATTCGAGCATCCAATGATTCAATAGTGGCACAAAAGAATTCGACATGAGACTGTTGAGTCGGATTGGTTTCTCGCCTCCACCATGCAAACCTGCACAGCAGCTGACGCATCAGTTGTGTCGTGCCAGTTTTTTCAATGCCTTCTGGGGTCTTGGAGATTGAGCCCAACGTAAAACTTGCAAGGATGACAGAGTAGACCAGATGATCTACACATGCAACATCATTGTGTATGAGATTATATAATATCATATGGGTATGGGTCAAAATTAGGTACCCCAATAATTGGATGGTTAGTACTAAACTAGACTAACATCTATGGTCCCCTAGGTCTTCCATTTTGACCCACATCCATATAATATCTACATATATCTACAACCTCCAGTTGATGATGTTCGATGTTTTGATTTTTTTCCTCACCTCAGACCCCAGGTGAAATGGGTCAGACCCAACCTTTCACAACGTTTCACAACATCTCACTGTGATTTTAATGGCAATTTTCAGCGGCTCAAGGTTGTCAACCACAAGCTGCAGACCCGGCACAGACGTACATCCAAAAAGTATGGGACATCTTTCACGACATAAAAAACTGGTGCATGCGGAATGCTCATCATCTCTAAGAATCAGAGTGTGATCACTTTACGGATCGACTTGAAAGCCCCAAGAACTTGGCAGTTTCTCCCAGAGATTGGGCAGCAACTTATACTTTCATCCAGTGTCCCAGCCCAAAAATTGATCAGCTGATCGTAGTTGCCAATATTTGGGACCCTCCCCAATGAAACATAACTATTTTAGGTTATTAGAAATGATTGGACAATTGGAATAGTAAGCCCCATAATTTGGGGGTTGGAAATTATTTGAAATAAGGAATCTTGGGACATTTGTTCCATCATTTGGTTTTCGGGCTCACCAGCGTTCAGTGAAGTGTGGTGGCTTGCGCTCCATGTGACAAAGCTTCAGGCTCAGCTTTTTTGACCAGTTGCGTTGCCGAATTTATGTGGTTCGGAAGTTCATCAATAATATTTTTATGAGATTTCAAGATTAAGCTCATGGTCATGGAGTCATTTACTAAGTGCAGGTCACATACATCCTTCAGGTTTCATTCAGGCTTCAACTTGTACGAAACTCTTCACTGCTACAATTGCTGGGCCTTCACATCCTTTGGTGGTCTGAGAAATGCCGATGTCGTCCGCGTGGTTTCTGGTGGGTTGGGTGGTGACGGCGGCACAGTTGGAGCAGGAATGGACCAACTTTGTGATTTTCGATTCGCACTATCTGCCCATGGCCAAGTGCTGGTTCAAGTGGTTTCAACGGAATGCTTCGCCGAATTACTTGAAGGTGGGGCAGGCTAGAAGCACCCTCACTTCACATGATCTGACATTTGCCCAACGGCCAAGCTTGAAATTTGGAGGCATTCAGTGTATTGCAACAAGCAATGTAACAGATAAATCAATTTGAGAACTGTGATTTTCGCATCAATTTTCCCAACACCACGTTTCCATTAAAACAGTAACTTTGGAGGATCACCCCTTTTATATGCTATTAAAATCTATTAAATTGACTTGTACCGCCACTGTATTTTGTTGATTAAATCCGCCTTGGATGATTTTTCCATTTCCACCATGGATTTTCTCCTAGATTTCCCGGTTTTTCAGCTCATCAGGTCAACCTTCCTATAATTTTTACTGCTTAATGCCATGAATGCCCCGATGTTTCGCATTTCGGACCTTTAAAAACTTCCAATTTTTACTGGTTCACCAATTTCACCACCCATTAAAACATGCTATTCTCATGCTAAACTTCCACCTTTTTTGCTGCTTCAACGGTCCGTTTATTCCTTCTGTCTTTAGGTGGGCTGCATGGACCAAAAAGCCTGTGCTGCAGCTGAAGGCTGGCACCGGGATCTCGAGGGCGAAGTGGCCGTGTCCGACGTGATGGAGAGCTACGATCTGGATCCAGTGACGGCCAAGGCTGGGGAAATGACTAATTAGTAGAGTCATGTTTGATAATATGGCAGTGTGTCAAAACCTTGTACCCCTGGTGAACATCAAAATAGCTGGTAAATAGATGTTCATTCCCCTAAAAATGGTATTAATAGGTATTGATCCATACCCATATATATATATATAATATTTATTATAATATATATATATATAATATTTATTATAATATATATATAATATTTATTATAATATATATATATATATATGTAAAAACTCCTGCAGTAAAACCATGTAGTGTATATATCATCGATCTACTCTGTAGCGTTGGTTCAAAAGTATCAGCTGCTTAGCGGATAGTGTTGTATTTCACCCCATATTTGGTTGACCTGGTAAAATACAGGTTATCAGCCGTAGTCTCACTACTTTGCTATGGGGACCCCAATTGACCATCCTCTCGCCGTTCCAGGGTCAGGTCCATCGGCTGTCGCTGTGCCCAATGTGGCCGGGGGCAACCCCGAGCCGATGGATGACGAAACAATGTTCCAACCCGTTGTCGCGTACTTTACCTTCATACAAAACAACCTGTCCCAGATTACTAGTGGGAATACCCTGCAAGTCATGAGGGAAGCTGAACAGAGGCACCTTCAGATAATGCATGGAGTAGTTGACTCAATTCGAAACGAATGGTCAAGTAGACTCGTAATGCAGGAGCAGGAGTATGAGCAAAGGCTGCAGGAGATTGAAGGTAAGGCCATTAGTGCCGTCAACGAGGAGAGGAAACGAGGCGATGAGATGGAGGTCAGGTTGAATCAGGCTCAGGCATCGAATGACAAAAGAATAGAGGATGTAAAGGCAGAGGCAAACACAAAGCATGATCAGAAGATTGCAGAGGAAAGGCAACGTATCACTAGTGAATTCGAAGCTTCTTATGCACAGACAGTTGAACATGCAAAGAATGCCATAGCTGCCACAAAGAAGCAATATGAAGATCAGGCTGCAATTGATCAGGCCAGGTTCATCAGTTTGAGGACCGAGTTCGAGAACTACAAGAAGGAGATGGCCGACAAGATCAATGAAGCAGCGGCTCAGAACCTTAGCCTTCAGGACCAAATCGATGACCTTCAGGAGCAGTTAAAGCATGTTGCCAAAGCGCAGCATGCCTCCGTTCCGAGAGCATCCGCCCTGAATGCCGAGCCGGCCGCTAGCACTAGCGTGCCCCACTTCAATATTGCCACTCCCAAAGCATCCGATGCACAGGCTGCCAAAGGCAGTGACGAGCCGATTCATGAGTTGAAGACGCCTGCAGTGTTGGCACAAGAAGCAAAGGCCAAGTTGGATGAGCTGCTCAAAGGTGGCAGTCCCAAGCAAAAGCCGGCTGTCGGCAACGACCAGCCCCAATTGCCAACGCAGTCAGGGTTTTTCACTCCCACTGAAGCTATCAAAACTCCTCCAAATGACTCCCCTAAGAGCGTAACCAAGCAACAGCAAGTGATGGGTCCCTCAGATCTTATTGAATTGGTGAAAGCCTTAACCCAAAGGGAAGAAAAGGATAAGCCAAAAACTAAGGAGGCCGAACTCATCAAGCTGAACAACATGCCCGCTCCGGAGTCGTATAGGACTTGGAAGAATCATGTCAGGGATGAAGTGAAAAGCTGTTCAGATCGCCCGGATGAGGCGTGGCTCTGGCTCAATGAGGTGTACGATCAAGAGTGCACCAGAGAGCAGTTGGAGAAGAAACTCCAAGATCCTGGAAAGTTCCTCACGCTGGATACAAAGTTATCAGCAGCGCTCACACGCTCAGCCGGAGGGGACCTCGCAACTAGGATCTTGAATTTCAAGGAGCAGCAATCCCGAAAAGGCATCCAGGTCAGGGGAAGGTATGTTCTGCTCATGTTTGAGGACTACTTCAAAACATCAGAAGAAGCAGGTAGCCTTTACAGAGTAGAAGATCTTTTGGGTGTAGTCAAAGTAGGCGATACTGTCCAGGATCTCCGAAGATTCATCAACAAATGGGATGCTACCCTAGCTGGCATGGCTGTCACCCCTGATGATGCTGTGTTAAGGGACATCTTGTTGAGGCAGATCCGACCAAGTCAGTTGCTGAAGTATGACATTGAGATGTTTGACCGTGCTCATGAGAAATCCCATGAAAAGTCTTATAGTTTTCTTCACCAATCCATGAAGAACTTGATCGATCGCGAACGATTGAGGGAGAACAGGAACCGCATCGCGGAGAAGAACAAGGCTGGGATTAAGGACACAAAGGCCGCACCTGCCAAAGGCGATGGTCGCGGTGGCCGAAAGGGCTCCCCAAGTCGTGGTAGATCGCAGGAACGAGGTGGCAAAGGTGACAAGATTTGCTATAAGTTCCAAAAGGGTACCTGTGATAAGGGGAAGAAATGTCCATTTAAGCATGTCAAGGATGACAAATCTCGAACTCAATCACCCAGAAGAACCAAAACACGTTCACCATCAAGGGGCAACAAAGATGATAAGGGGAAGAAGATGTCCAAGGAAGAAATGGCCAAAACCCCGTGTATCTATCATGCCCAGGGAAAGTGCAGACGTGGTGACAAATGTTTTTATAAGCATGATGACAAAGCTGCTGCCGCCACCAAAGACACCAAAAGGGCTAATTCACCCGCTCCTAAGAAGAAGAGCAAGGATTCCACAGCCGCTCCATGCCTGATCCAGAAGTTTGCATGCATCGTGCGAAAACAGCCGAAGGCAACTTCGTGCTCTGATGAGTCAAGTGTCAGCATGAAGCGTCTTAGATTCCGAAAGGCCCCACATGTGATCGAGGTGAAAGCAGTTGGTCATCAAGTCCCAGTCAAGCACCGTCCAAGAGAGTTCACTAAGGTGTACAAAACAGCTGAAGACGTTCCAGTTTCATCCAAGGTTGAACAACATGAGGCTCAAGTTCGTGCAAGACAGCTTCAAGAAACTGTGAAACTTCATGATTCAGATGTTGCACCTAGTTGTGGGTTTTGTTGTTGGAATGAGGACACACGTGACATCACATGCAAAGAGTGCAGGTTCGTCAGCGGTCCCAAAGCTCTTAGAGACATTGGTCGTTTCCCGTCAATTGCCACAGCTGCGCCAAAGGCCGGCGTTAGTTGGCTTGTCGACTCAGGTAGTGAATCCGATCTTGTGTCCAAAGGAATGCTGAGGGATGTCAGTGCCAAGAACTGCCGTGCAGCCGAGCATCCGATTTCCTTAGTCACAGCCAATGGTTCGACCGAGGCAAACGAGGTTGCTGATGTCAAGTTGTCCGCATTGCCAGATCCCGTGCATCCGTATGTACTTGATCATACCCCAGCTGTGCTCTCCGTAGGAACGAGATGTGTAGATCAGGGTTACAGTTTTGTATGGCCTGCCAATGGCAAACCAATCCTAGTCCGTCCAGATGACAAGGTCGTCCAGCTCAAGATCGAAGGTCATGTCCCAGTTTTGGATGATAGTTGCAAAGTTTATCCCAAAGATCAATTTCAAAAGGATAAGCACCTTAGAAAGTTGTTTGCAATGCCGACCTCACGGTCGAGCTCAAAAGCCAAACGGGACGAAGCCCAAGATGAAGAGCAATTGGATGACCTGGTGGAGGATGACGCTCAGCAGGAGTACATCCGAAGCCGCAAGACTGAGGATCTATTGGCTGAAGCTGCAAGTACCCAACATCAGTACACGCATTTCCCCAAGAACCCCTTTTGCAGAACCTGCCAACGAGCAAGGATGATGGCACCTCAGGCACGAAAGAAAGGTGGTCAGAAGAGAATCGAAACTGAAGTTTTCGGTGACCACGTCATTGGGGATCATGTCATCATCAAGAAAAACGTAGAAGAGGGTTTCAGGGGGGAGCAAGTTGCATTGGTGTTGAAAGATCTGCACACCCAATATCGGTATGTCTACCCTAGCCAGTCCAAGGACTCACAAAGCTGTGTTGATGGTTTGAATCACTTCATTGGATCAAAGGATGATGTTCAAGTTGTGTACACTGACAATTCCCCAGAATTGATCAGGGCCATCAAGGATTTGGGTTACAGACACCAAACTTCCATTGAATATGTAGATTCATCAAAGTCTTTTGCTGAGCGCGAAGTTCGTCAGATGTTGGAAGGTGCCCGGAGCAACTTGTTGCAATCAGGACTTCCTTTGAAGATGTGGCCATTGGCCATGCAGCATCATGCGACCGCGATCAACGCAAGCCCCCAGCTTGACGGCAGTGAATCCCCATGGCAACTCAGGTTTGGTGAAGAGTTCCCTGCAATGCACATTCCATTTGGTGCCAAAGTGTTATTCTGGAATAACCCCAAGAGGTTGGATAACACATCAGGTAAGCTCTCCCCAACAGCAAATGAAGGAATTTTCCTTGGGTATTACATCCAACCAGGTCATGATTGGAAGGGTGAATACTTAGTTGCCAAGTTGGAAGCCGCAGATTATCATGTCAACTGGGGTGCACTGACAATCCAAAGAACAAAGAGGTTGGAATTGCCATCCGAGGGTTTCATCTTTCCTTTGAAAGCTCTGATTGACTCGAAAGCACCCAAAGCCGATCGCCTCGAGGACCAGGTCATTCCGCAGACACCCAAAGCTGTGCCTCTTGAGTCCAGGTTGCATCCGCCACAAGATGAGTATGAATACGAGCCAGGTACGCCTCTACCAGCCGACAGCGATGTCGAGCCTGATGCACCCGAAGCGCCCGTATTTCCAGATCTCAAATTGACCCCTAAAGGTGAAATAATTCCAGATGGACATCATTGGGATGGTCACCGGATTGTACGTAACTATAAAGGTTCAAAGCGTCCGGAGGGGATCGACTCAGAATTGTGGAAGATGTTAGGACCCCAAGATAGGAAGTTGATCATCGAGGAAGAAGCAAAGAAAGCAGCCAAGGAGCAGGAGGAGAAGCCAGCATCTTCATCTGGCAGCAAGGGCAAAAAGAAGAAGTCTTCACCGGCCCGGCTTGAGGCAACTCAACGCCCTCCTGCAACTGCAAAGCTCGTAGGCAATGTTTGGGAAATTATTCC